TTTAAGATGTCTGTCTGACCCATTGAAAATTCACAGGACCCATAGAATAAAATTAAACACACATTTCAGATTTAACATTTCTTATAATTGGCACTGAAATTATTAACAAACATAAGAAAAATTAAGATAAAATAAACAGCAAACAAGTGTCACATGTCACATATAACAGCTTCAGTCAAAGTCATTGTGAAATATACAGTCGGACACTGGGGCCGGTGGGTTGTAGACTTCTATCGGACCGTTGGCGAATCTGACCGATTTGTCAGAGGGTCAGACACTATTCGCTAACACTGACTTACACCCATATCAAGCTTGAAGGAATACAACCAAACAAGGAGACATATGTTATATGGTCGGGTGAGAGAATTTATATTTTCCAAATAGAATTTAATGTAACCAGAGGTACAGATAAGCTGCGTATCTGCGTAAATTACGCAAATACAGGGGTCGATTTAAGGAAATGAAACCTACTTGCACCCAGAGCAACCTAAGGCAATCACCTTGTTGCACCAAACATAAAAAGGTTGCACCTGCTGCTTAATATAAAATCTGATATAATGCTTGACTTTTGGTAAAGACGGTTTAGAACAGTATTATAACAAAAGAAATCTGAAGTTATCTTACTTCCTAAACTTTCATGAACAGTAAGTCCTTCAGTCAATGTTCCTACAATAATCAGAGTCACTGTTCCAAGTCAGATCCTCATCATTCTGTTTGCCAGCTGAAATATGCTTAAATTGAGCCCTGAAATATTTATGTGAAAACTCAATTCCTATAAAGTCTATATTTCGTACAAGTATGCTTTAGGTTATGTAAATACTCAATAGATGTGATCTTACATGCGTACACACAAAAATGTAAAATCTTAGCTTGTGTACCGGTGGATAGATAAAACAACTGAGGTATATTGAGAGGTTCTGTTTCAGGACATGAACTTGGCAACTTGCAGTCTTTATTATTGTTTCTTATATTACAGATCAAATATAAAGAACAAACACTAACATTTAAACTTTATTATATTTTCACAATTAATGGAAAATGACAAAATACCCAATTGAGTTTGAGTGAGGTGGGTACAATTTATTTGGTTACTCAAAGGAAAATTAGGATACCCAATTGAGATGAACACAAGCGAGTACATAACTCAATGACCCAAAAAGTTATCTGAAGCTCTGGTAACTTGCTTTGGCTGTTGGGGCGGTGGGGTAGCCTAATGGTTAAAGCATTGGCTCGTCACGCCGAAGACCCGGGTTCGAATCCCCACATGGGCACAATGTGTGAAGCCCATTTCTGGTGTCCCCCGCCGTGATGTTGCTGGAATATTGCTAAAAGCGGCGTAAAACCAAACTCAGTCAGTCAGTCAGTGCTTTGGCTGTTGAAAATTTAAGTTCTTTGTTGCAGATGTCTATTGGGCAGGTTTTCCGTAATTCTACACTGAAACACCGATAATATAATCTACCAGAAGTTCTTTTCCATTAAGTACCGGTACTTATTGTCACCTGTTGTGTTTGTTGTTATCGTGGGGTAGCTTTTGATATGTTCACCTCTTGATTCATATGTAATTGATTGAACTTAGAAGTGTTTCACATTTGTTTTTGTAATCATTGCATAATGCCCTGTAGCCAAAATGACTTCATATGTCAAACACAACTCGAGCCAATCACTTATATTGTTGCACTGGGATACCAATATTCACCAACATGCTTATTGTTTTAAGATGATGAATTGGTGCTAAATTTTAATATATTCTATATTCTGTGTGCAAAATACTTGCTTTAATATACATATGATACAACCAGATTCAAGTCAAAGACAGTAATTTGTTATTGTTACCATGGAAACAAATTTACATGTTACCAATTTCATGGTGAAGTCTAGTTTGAGTAAAGTTGTCACAGTCAGTGTGGCTACAGTATAATCATGATGATAATGAACATTGTCACATTAAGGTTGCACAAACCTTGAGCTTGAATCTTATCCAAAATTCTGGTATAATGTGTGCCAATAGAGTATTAATAGTATTCCATTAGTTTTAAGATTGTTTTGTAAACCAAGGTTCTCTACACATTCCCAGAATAGATCTATTGATACTGTAGAAATTTGTGGAGTGGCAAAGTGAAGTCCAAAATCAACTGCATAATTTAGTATGATTTAGCACATTTCAGTGAGTGAGTGAGTTTAGTTTTATGCCGTACTCAGCAATATTCCAGCCATATCTTGGTGATCTGTAAATAATCAAGTCTGGACCAGACAATCCAGTGATCAACAGCATGAGCATCAATCTACGCACTTGGGAACCATGACATGTGTCAACCAAGTCAGCAAGCCTGACCACCCGATCCCGTTAGTCGCCTCTTGCGACAAGCATGGGTTACTGAAGATCAATTCTAACCCGGATCTTCACGGGTGCATATTTCAGACCTCATGTACCTAAACAGTTCACATACATAAATCCTTAATTTCTTTGTCATTTGTAGTGAATCAGAATATGTTATATATCAGAAGTATGTTGGCCGTGTACAAAAGATACGAGTCATGTTTAATCAAGGTCCCTTGTTTAGAAGTGTTAATATTGCACTTTGTATGTTTCAGTCATGTTCGATGTTCCACATTCTCATGTGGTTGTTTTCAAACTCTTTTCTACAACAAGTGATTCTGTTATGTGCATTGTTGTTCATTTATCATGCTTATTTTTACTTCAATTGTTTATATGAATATTTTTGTGTGCATGTGTTAAATATTGCTCAAAGTAACCAAAAAGACCAATGAAACAACACTATAGTAATTGTTTTCTACTTTGTATGTATGAATCTAAGATGAAATCAGTAGATAATGATCAGTTTTGTGTTGTTTGTTTGTTCTTGATGTTAATAAAAATATCATGAATTTTGCTCTTTCCTTACCATGCTTACATTACAAAGTTTGCTTTGTGAGGATAGTTCTGTTTGTCACAAAAATATTTGAGACTAGTAGCTTGAACTTGGCTCTGTTAATTATATCCCTGCTTAAGAAGTATAAACGGGGCATGAAGCGTTCATTCTGTCCTCCCGCCCCGAAATTTTGTCTGGAGCATATCTCTTAAAGTTTACATGCTTGGATCACCAAACTTCACACACGTTAATCTTTATCCTTAGATGTGCCTTTTGCTATTTTGAAGTTTATCAGAGTAATTGTTTGCTGTTTCCATGGAAACACGACTTAGTGCATAATGTGTTTGATGGTTATCTTCCCCGGAGCATATCACCAAAACTATGCACACTAGGTTCACCAAACTTAACACACAAGTTGATCATGACCAACAAATGTGCCTTTTGCTATTTTAATGTTTATCAGAATTTAATTTTTTGCTCTTTCCATGGAAACGTGACTCGGTGCAAAATAATATTTCCATAACTATTGATGTTATCAGTAAATGGCAAAACTATTATCTGACATGTGTATAAAGTTTGGTGGAGTCAATGAGAAAGTCTTGTGAGCTGCTGATCCTTGTCACATTATATACATCAATATCAGTCATTTCCATGTCCCAAAGGGGCGGTGGGGTAGCGTAATGGGTAAAGCGTTGGCTCGTCACGCCAAAGACCCGGGTTCGAATCCCCACATGGGTACGATGTGTGAAGCCCATTTCTGGAGTCCCCTGCCGTGATGTTGCTGGAATATTGCTAAAAGCGGCGTAAAACCAAACTCACTCAGTCAGTCAGTCCATGTCCCAAAGGGGCGGTGGGGAAGCGTAGTGGTTAAAGCGTTCGCTCGGCATGCCGAGTCTTAGTAACCAATGCTTACCGTGAGAGAAGACAATCAGGATCAGATGGTCTTGGATGATGCATGTTATTTTATCCCAGCTGTGTAGGCATAGTAATAGAGTTTGGTTTGAAACTGCTTTCATGTGATGTGTAAGGAAATGTGACTTGTACAACCAAGTACAGTGCTCACAAACCAAGAAACGATTTGGGATTTGATCCCACCTTCTTAAATATTGATCTTGTTGTAGCATGTCGAGTGAAGTTGTGTTGTATCATGTCTTCCACAGATCAGTTCCCTTCTGAGTGCATATTCACCAGTATTTGGTAGCAGTGTGTTTGGGTGTGAACTAAGTACACATGCTGAAAAAGGATATAAGCCAGAGTTGTTTATTGTATGATTCTCCATCCATACACTGCTCTTGCATTGTTGGTCCTGTGAGAAGTGTACCACTGACCCGATGAAGTAAGCATCACTGCCTACATAAACCACTTCTTTTCATGAAAACATTTGATGTCCGACTAAAGTCGTCACAAGTTTCAGTTTATTGATTCTAAACACCACAGACAATTCCCGACCAACTTGGATAGTCCATGGCCCTGTTCCTCAAAGTGATCGTAGCGCTACGACTGTTGTAAGTATATGTTAAAGTATGGGAGTTACGATCATCTTAGCGTTACGATCGCTTTGAGGAACGGGGGCCCAGGCTGTTACTACCACCCTGACCAATGGTGGGAATCCAACCACAGTGGAGTTGTACTCAATGAGAGTCTGTGGGTTAGAATTGGTCTTCAGCAACCCATGCTTGTCTTAAGTGGCAACTAATGGCGGGGGGTCTGGCTCTGTGACTTGGTTGACACCAGTGTATGAAATAAGGCCCATCCGACCGCCCTAGACGGGTTAGATTTCAGACGGATGGTCTAGATTTACAGCTAGCCAGCCCGATGGTCTGGCAAAATATTGAGATGTTATATACATCTGAGTCATATCTTGGTGTCAGGTCTGGTTAAATCCATTTTGGACTGGTAACATTTTGAAGTTACCAGCCCTGATGTCTGGCTGGGGATTGGGCTTATTTCATACGCTGTTGACACATGTCATTGTATCCCAATTACATAGGTCGATGCTCATGATGTTGATCACTGGAATGTCTGGTCCAGACTCAACTATTTACAGACCACCACAAACAGTAGTCTTCTGTATGAAGTATTAACCAACATTACTTGACCACCTAATTGAAGGAACAACCCAACAGAGGAGACAAACGACATACTTTATTAAAGAAATTGTATGTTGAATTCATCAAGTTCAGTTTTAATAATAAGAACTGAATGAATCCATATGAAGCATCTCGTGGCAGCTTTCTTACACAACATCAGAACATGATCAGTGACAATAGGTTCTACAACACTAAACATGCCGACTCCGCATTAATGACTGATAATGTACCCATATTTACTGTGTGCACTGACACTACACAATGCCTACCAAGCACTACACAGCAACTGACATGCTTAGGCAAAACAAAATGTTGAGAATGTCCCTTTTTCAGCCCCAAACCAGTAGGAGTTGATTTTTGTCTAGCCCAAACAACAACAACAACAACCGCCCTTCCCCCCCCCCCCAATTTCTCTCTTTGTAACTGTCGAGTTATTAAGGGTTTATGCTTCTTTTAGCAACATTCCAGCAATATCACGACTAGGGACACCAGAAATATGCTTCACACATTGTACCCCTGTGGGCAATCGAACCTAGGCCTTCAGCGTGGTGACGAGCGAACGCTTTAAACACTTCGCTACCCCACCGCCCACAGTAATTTGATGCAAGTCAGTTAAAGCCTACTTAAAGGATGATGAAGACAACTTTATCATTGGAAAAGATGGGGATGAAGCTAGGATGCTATATTCCTTTTGGCCAACACTAAAACATCTTCAAACATGTCTGTCAGTTTTGATGTTCCTTATGAAATAATGATGAACTTGACACTTCAAAAACAAAGAATTAGCAAAGTAAATGACTCAATATGGCTCTTTGTATTTATTCTCATCCCACATAGATATCAACATTCATAGATGCATTGATACATAAAATAAAAATATTGTAGAAATTGCGTCAGGGCATATGCAAATACCTATGAGAAGACTTAACAAAAAGAATCAAGAATGAAAGAGACAGGTCTTCAATGCCAGTTACTTGCTGTCTGAAAACCTCCAAATCTTTGGCAGACAAGCCACAGATCAATGTAATTCAATCTGCTCTTGCTGGTTCATATTTCCTCCGGGAGTGTCACGTCCCCATCTACCATTCCTGTTCCATTGTCTCCATGTCTTCTTCCTCTTTGGCTTCTTTACCTTCCTCCTCTGTCATGGCTGCCTCGTTTGCAGCAGATCCATTGGTCTTGTCAGCCTCCTCTTCTTCTTCTTCCTCCGCTACTGGCGTGTAGTCCCCCCAGTCTATCTTGTCAGACTTCCTCTTGTTGTAATGCTCGTCCTGGAACACCAAGACGGATCACATGTTCAAGGAAACAGAAAAGTATTGATAAAAGACACTGTCATCAAAGAATTCGGTACACTTACAGAATACCGGATACATACCAACCATATTGTTAATGTCACGTCTATGTAACGCTATCCCTAACCCTAAACCTTACCCTAACCCTAAACCTTACCCTAACCCTAATCCTAAACCTTACCCTAACCCTAGGAGTTAGGAAGGTATCCGGTATTCTGTAATCTTACCAAGAATTCACATACAGATAATTTTGAAAGCACAGCAAACATTTACACATTTAATATTTTGTTGGTGGTCTCGTAAGCCTACAATAGCACCAATACTACATCATATGATGGTATATACTCAAACAATTACATTAACTCCAATGGTTTTTTGTATGGTTTGGTTGTTGTATAACGTTGCACTCAGCAACATTCCAGCTTCATGGCGGCGGTCTGTAAATAATCGAGTCTGGACCAGACAATCCAGTGATCAACAGCATGAGCATCGATCTACACAATTGGGACACGATGATGTGTCAACCAGGTCAGCGAGCCTGACAACCCTGTCCAGTTAGTCGCCTCTTACGACAAGGACGGGTTGCTGAAGACCAATTCTAAGCCGGATCTTCACGGGTTAAACTCCAGTTGGTATAATGATGAGTCCTGTGACTGCCAGATACTCAGCTAATATGGCCGGCCTGGGATACACGTTTTGTTTGTTTGTTGTTTAACGCTGCACTCCGCGATAATTCCAGCTATATGATGGCAGCATGTAAACAGTTAAGTTTAGACCAAACAATAAAGGTGAGGTGAAGTGAAATTGGGTTTTACGTCGTGCTTGAGAATATTTCGCTCATATGACGATGTGCATGCGTGTGTATGTGTATGTGCAGCTGCTTGTACTAGCCCAGACTGAAGCTGGTTTTATAGTGCTAGCACACTGAGATACCATGCCGCAGTGAAGCATGACTACCCCACTCAGACATATTATACTGACTCCGAGCTGACCAGTCCTTGTACCCATTAATGCCGAGAGCCAGGCAGGGACCAACAAGTACCATATTTTAATGTCTTTTGATATGACGTAGTCGGGGAGCGAACTCGCGACCTTCGCTCTCCAGGCGGAAGTTCTAACCACTACACCACGGAGGCGGTAAAAAAATACTGATGATTGACATGATCATTGATCTGCGCAACCTATAAACCATGTCTGCAAGCCTGACCGCCCAATCCCCTTAGTCGCCTCTTACAACAAGCATTGGTGGTTGAAGACCAGTTCTAACCCATATCCTTGAGTGAGTGATTGACTTTAGTTTTTCGCTGCTTTTAGCAATATTCCAGCAATATCACAACAGGGTACACCAGAAATGGGCTTCACACATTAAACCCATGTGGGGAATCGAACCCGGGCCTTCAGCGTGACGGGCGATCACTTTAACCACTAGGCTATCCCCCAACCCCACAGATCTTTGAGGATGGAATACTTGTAGTTGTTACTGACCTTCACATGGTTGAAGTGTCTCTCCAGTTGTAGATGGATCTCCATTTCTGCTTCGTCCCTCAGGAACTTGCGACACAGGACGCAATAGAAGCCCAATATTGGCTCAATATGTTTGCTGACTGCAAATAGAAGAAAAAGTATATATGATACTTATTAAATCTCATTAACTTAATATCTTATTGTTTGTTACATTGTGTTTAACATACATTTTAACAGGAAAAAGAGATTAAGAAAACTTAGTATTGAAAAGTGTCTTTTAACATATTCCGAAAATGTTCCAAGAGGAGCTTCAAGCTCCCTAGTTTTTATACACAAGCTTGCTAATATTACAACTTACCGTATACAACTCCATCTTGAAATGGTGGTAAGTCTTTCTGTAAGGTCAAGTAAAGAATGTTTATTATTACTGGTTTAGATGATTATATACAGGCTGACATGACAGTGTGCAAAATTTACGCTGGTCCTGGTAAATGAAAGTTTGCAGTGGTCCTGGCAGTGTTTCCCTTAACTCTGAAAAGCTGCAGGCTCTAAGGACCCAGAACCATAAAAAGTTGTAGGTCCTTAGCAGAATGTGTAGCCCCTATATTTTAGCTACAATATAAGTAATTCCCAGCAAACAAAAAATGTGACAACTAACAAACTGAGTTAAAGAGTTTAATTTAACTCTAGTGACTGACTAGTCTTCATTTACAAGAAAATTGACATCCAAGTCAAGATCCAAGTCTTCTGAAAATTCTGAATGAGAATGTTCAGACAGGGATATGTCAGAGCAGTCAGAGTCCTCGGTTAAGAAAAAGCTTTCAGCCATAAGGACCTTCAGAAAACAAAAGCTGTGGGTCCAAGTGGTTTTCAGTCTGCTTCAGGCCTAAGGACTAACATTAATTTCGAACACTGGGTCCTGGTGGCCAGTGAATTTTGTATTGATAGTTCAGTAAATCTATGAATGTTATTTTGGACCAGTTAAGTGCAGACAGGACCACTAATTATTGCCCACTCACTGGTCCTGTGGTTTAGGATGAAATTTTGAAAGGTTTCTTTTCCTGACAAGATGCAGCCTGAGTACTGAAACATGTCACAGAAATCATAAGAAACAACCAACAGAACAGAAAAACCAGCGCCACACAATCAGTTACAGAGATGGACCACTTGACTCACTGAAAGTGAGCTGATTTAATGCCACGTTCAGTATTAATGTACCCATACAGTAATGTGTGTAAGTGTGTATACGTGCCTTCATGGACTAATGTTGGTTATATTGTCCTACCTAAACGAAATATAATGCCACAGGTTTAACATGACTATCCAAGTCAGACACAGTGTTTCCGTTATCCGGTATATACCAGAGTTTGACCAGTACAAAGTTAGAATGTTTGGTAATTTCAAAGGCTGTCGGTCATCGTGTCCAGCAAATTTGGCGCCCAAATGGTCACATGATTGGCCATATTTGTCACTCTCTCCGTATGTAAGCCCGACACCCGGATTTACAGGGAAATCCAGAGTGCCATAAGAGGGGAGGTTGGGAGGGCTAACCTCATGAGTCAGGACAAGTATAAAATATCAATGTTAGTCAGAAAATTACATATTTTTCCTTATCCTGACTCATGCTAATTATGCTTGCAGAATCCGTCGGAAACGGTGGTGGGACAGGCCACGTTCTGGATTCACTGGTTGTAGATTTACGTCCTGTATTACCCCCCTTGGGAACCTTATGACGGCACTGTTGAAGATTCTTTCAACTTCTCTCTGATGAGTCTGGGGGACCACAACTTGTCAGATTTCTTCCATAACTTCTGACATTTTCGTGTGGATTTTAGATATACTAATATTCCATTAGTTATCTATTGCAACTCCATCTCTTGATGCGTGCATCAAGTGGAGATGCAACCCTTCTTCATGTACAAGTATGTCCTATACAAGTACAGGGTCTATCACTCATGCTAGTCTGTCCTAGACGTGTGCATGGACTTATAGCCATTGCTCTCCAGAGCATTGGTTTTCACAAGTCATGTGATAAAAGGGGTGAGATTTACTCAGCGCCTTTGAGGAACCGTTAGAATCTCTGACTTTTCATTTGAATAAGGGGGTCAGTGTATAGAGTTTGAAATGAAGGTCCTTAAGGTATGCTTCTATTATGTTTGAATCCATGGACTCCGTAAATCTTCAACATTTGTGCATGCATAATCACCCTACCATGCAAAACCCCTGCTCACAGGAAGACCAAGTCAACTCTTTCTGAATACTTTGGATCTGTTCAGACCCAGAATCTGCCAGTGTTGAAATTTACCATTACTACACATTACATTACTCGATATAACCACCACTCCACACTTACTGACTGGCTCAAAACAAACAAATTATTCACACATAAACATAAGTTAATGGACTCCAACTCACCACATCAACTGCCTCCTCCATCTTCTTGTCCAACTTGTCTGCTTCCTGCACACGTCAAATATTGTATCATTAAATATATTCTTTGCAGCTCGACATCTTCATAGTTTTATTCAACACAAAACGTAGCCAACTTCAACATCAACATAAGGAAAACCAATGTTTTCATGGTTTTAGTTTTGTTGAAGATGTCTGCATTGCACAGAAATACAGTTTGAGAGAATTTAGGACAATAATTAATGTGCAAAGGTCAAATATATATCAAAATTTAAAACATTGAAGAGTGGAAGATGTATATATATATATATAGTTCCATTACTGCCTTCACACCGATTTGATAACATTTTGAACATTATCATGTTATGGCCATAAGTAGTTTTAGCTTTCAGTAAGGCAAAAGGTAAATTTCAAATATGGAGTCTTCATTGGTGGTGAAGTCCACGAAGTTCCCACTTCATGACAGCTGACTCTGACATAAACCCCCCCCTCTACCCCTTCTACATTTTGTCAGGTTGGCTACTAAAGGTCAAACCTCTAACATGTTACAAACCATCATCAGGGCTATTCACAGATTCAAACCACAAATAGCAAACCCCAGAGATGCCAACCACAAATTAGTGCAATTAGGAATCTGAGATCCCTAAGATAGAAAAAAATTGGAATTTCCCCAACAAATTAGGGATCCCTATAAATTGTTGCACTCAAGGAACGAAACTTTTCAATGCCATTACATATAGCGATCCTTATACAACTGAAACCGGTTTGCAGTACTCGGAAGCAGTGTTTGTGAATGTTAAGTGAATAAAATAAACAGTGTGTGGAATTTATCAGGCAGCCTTCTCAACTTCCGGATTACTTTCTTATGTAAACAATTTGAGAACTTCTGTAAATAAAGTGTTGTATTTATTTAATTATCATTATTTACAGTCAAAGATCATCCTAGCCCTCCAGTAAGTAAGACTATCTATATCTTTGTTATATTTTGAAAAAAATCGGAATGAATTTGGCTTTGTTGGAATGGCGGAATCGACATGTTTTTTTGGGGATGATTCTGTTTTATTTGGGAGGGTTGGCATCTCTGGCAAACCCTGGCAAGCCTAAGGGAGAGAACTCTACACATCAATGGTGATGCCTAGACAGATTCACATAGGCCTCCTGAACATTAAATTACACTACAAAGGTCATGCAATAGCAAAACATGATATTAATAAAACAGACATTTTATGTAAAATGATTTGTGTTAGCCAGGCAGACTATGCTTACCTGAATGTGGGTTTCAGTGTAACAGTGCTCCTTGAACTGCTTGTAGGTTTTCATAGGACCACTCTTACAGATCTGACATCCAGCACGGACTGCTTTCGCTTTGGTCTGTGGAGAGCAAGTGAACAAAATACATAGTGGGAATGGCATTTCATGTCGATTAATGTCTACATGTATTTGTCAAGTGGCCTGTATACTTGTTGTAGAGGTTAGAGCGTCCGCTCGGAGAGCGGAAGGTCTGCGGTTCGATCCCCGACCGCGTCATACCAAAAGACGTTAAAATATGGTACTTGTTGGTCCCTCCTGGCGCTTGGCATTTTATGGGTACAACACGGACTGGTCAGCTCGGAGTCAGTATAATGTGTCTGAGAGGGGTATTCATGCTTCACTGCGGCATGGTATCTCAGTGGGCTAGCACTATAAAACCAGCTTAAGTCTGGGCTAGTACAAGCAGCCGCACATACACATACACACACATGCACGTCGTCATATGAGCGAAATATTGACAAGCACGGCGTTAAACCCAATTTCACCTAACCTAACCTCACCTCACCACTTGTTGTACTTGTTGAAGTCAGTGTGCTTGTTGAAGTCAGTGTACTTGTTGAACTCAGTGTACTTGTTGAACTCAGTGTACTTGTTGAACAGCAGTGTACTTTTCAAACACTGGATTCACAAGGCATTATGATTCCCACAGAGGTTTAGATCATTTGTTTGTCGTTTAACGTCGCACTCATGAAAATTCCATCTACATGATGGAAGTCTGTAACTAATTGAGTCTGGACCAGACAATCCAGTGACACCATGAGCATGGACATGGAAAACAATGACAAGCAGTCAACCAAGTCAAGGAGCCTGACCTCCAACATCCTTCTTGTCGACTCTATGAGTGGCTAGAGACAAACGCTAACTCAGAGGTAAATGCTACTAAATGACTTAAGTTGACAGTCACCCTTCACAGACGTAGTGGCTGAGATGACAAAGTCCTCTTGATTCTATGTGCTATTTGGAACACAACTTACCGTATGTGTAATCATGTTCTTGTGGTCAGAGTAGGGAACAGACAGTTTCTCCTCACAGACAGAACAGTACCTGCACAAAACACATGGATGTATTGTAGATGATGAATGTCAACAACTTTCAGAACTTAAATATCAAGGAAAAAGATTTGGTTTGTTTGTTTCTCCAGCTACATGACAGCAGTCTGTAAATAATCTAATCAGACAATCAACAATAATCTAGCATGTTATATTTGGGATTACACTTTCACAGTAAAGTACAGATTCTAGTACTTTTGGGGGGTTGAGTCCCATCTGGAATTTGAACCCACACCCTCAGAGTCAGGCACCTATAGTCCGTTTGGCTCAAAAGCGGACCGATGAATTGCAATCTAACTCGAAAACTAATAAACATAACATATTCAATGAAACGCTGATCATAATCAAAACATCAGACCATCTCTGTGAGTTTTTTGCAGAATTTTTGTCCTAAAAATAATAAAGTTGTTTAACAAACTATCATTAAAATATTGACACAGTTCACTGTTTGTTACGAGGGAGGACTGCAGAGAAAGGGACAGCCCCTGTACATGGGTACAATGTGTGAAGCACATTCCCGGTGTCCCCCGCCATGATATTGCTGGAACATTGCCTAAAGCGGCGTAAAACTCAACTCACTTACTTACTTGCTATACTGAGAAAGGGTAATACCAAATATAACACACGTTACACCTTACCCCTTTCTAAAAGCATTGTGTATTCATAGTGAACTTCTAATATCAGTGTATTCTGTTTTAAATTATAGACAGGTTTTCATAAAGGCAACTTAAATACAATAATCTGGAGGTCAGGCTTATTTTGTACATGCATTTTATTACTCAGAAGTGTATACACACTTTTAGTTCATGCATAAGTGAGTAAAAAGCACTTTTCCTTTTTAATTTATGTCAAAAACTTTTGAGATATGAATGTTTTATTAGTGTATATAGCCGCCATTTTGTTTACCAAGATGGCCGCCATTCAGTTTGGCCACAATGAAGGGATTAAAAAGGGCCAGGGAAAAAAATTGAATAGGTGTTTTTCTATTTAATATGTATTATTCATCTGAAAAAAATGTGTTCAAACAAACCATTCATAATCAACTCCTTGTTTGTATTAAAACTCTTTAACTTTATACTGTCAAAACATGGAAAAACAGGAATTTGTATGGCCAAGAATAGACAAAATTGCCCAACTTTGAATGGTCTTATACGTGTGCAAATAACTGACAATCAGTTCAAGATTGCTAATGTGATTAAAAACAACTATTTTGTCCCAATAAATGAAGTTAAAAACAATTAATCCTTCATTATCTATCTAAAATGATCATCCAAATTTTGATATTTTGTCATGTTTCATCTCATAATAGATGTGGCACCATGTTATGGTCCAATGACACGCACAAAAAATTAACATAAAATTTCTAATAAAGAAGATATCCTGATGAAATTTGGAAGGCAGGTAGATCTTTCCATTTGCTACATTTGTAGCTACTGCAACACAATATTTCCTGCAAGTAATAAGGCTTTATCTCTCATAATAAGAAACAACAAACCAGAAATGTGGTTTTGATATATTTTATTCAGTTTCATCGGCACACATCACCATCTGAAGACTAGTGTTCCAATAATGATTCACTGAAGATGACAATGTTCATTGTTAATGCTCTAAACAAAGTACAAGGACCATACAGTCATCACCAACACCTAGTTTTTATTCACTATTTGAATCCAAATATTCATGTGTAAAATAGTGTGAAAATAGTGAATAATTACCTTAGTAAACAATCTAAAGTCAATCCATGCTCATATTTCATTCATGATACAAGTCTAGATCATAACACAAGTGCATTTATCATGCTTATGTTTTAAAATAGAAAGAAATGATATATATCATTACATAATAAATAATTAATGTTGCCAAACAGAGATGAACTCTCATCCATAAATAGGATGCGAGAAATTTAAATTTGACAGTAAGAACTAGTTATTTGATGTTAGAGAAGAGCATACCATATTTCAAGTTTAGATAATTAGATCAGGTTATATCTAAACTGTAAACACAGTAGACTCATCCCTTGTTACCGGTATGAAAGCGGGGAGGGCTCCAACAAAAGACAATGGTTCAGGATAAGGTCAGGATTGGGATACTGAAAGAAGAAATTAATACATCATTTGAAAAATTAATTACGATAGTCTTCATACAATGAATCTTGTTTTTGGTGGTTATTTTCCCCCTCTCATGAAGTATAATTTTCCATTTAGTGAGATGACATCAAGTCCAGAACAAAATACATATTTATTTTCAACAATGTTCATAATCTACAGATATATGTGATAATAACTTGATAGTAAAAGACATGGGTAAAAGTTCCCCTAAAATCTGAAAAAAATATTTGGTAAATATTGTTGTTTTGTAATGGTATATCTCACATATTTTTAGGGTTTAGTGGTTAAAGCCGGTGAGATAGTTCTAAGAACTGCTCAAGGTTTGGTTGCCAAAAAACACCAATCCATGTAAAAAAAATTCAAATAATTAAATACATACACCAACCCTCATTTTTTCATTGGTGCAAAAAAACAGAGTAGGAAAGTTCAAATCTGTTATTTATGATATTTCGTTACAATTACGTAATTTCTACTATGAAATTTAATACCATGTTACCATGCTCATGTCAAGTCAAAGCAAACACATTTCACCAATAATTATTTCATTGTGATAATGGTACGAGGGTTAACGAAGCAAACCGGAAGTGACACTGAGAAATAGTTTTCGGTAGTTTCCATGTGTGTATGATAGAAATTTGGTCGGCAATTTATTGGAAGTTAGCTGTATCTTGTTGACATAATCTCATTTCAAGGTGGGTGTGTTTAATGGGAGCAGACAATGAAAGCACACAAAAATGTCGTCCTCAATTAAGTTGTGACGAGGTGTAGCAAAAAACAACATGGATTAGTCCATAATGATACGAGGACATTCGTTGTCATGAAAACATCAGTGTACATAAAAAATAGTTTTAAATGGTGTTGTGGCACAGATAAAATGCTTGTTCCATTTATATTTGTCTACAAGAGGCACAGCCCTTACCTGTCAGGTCAGGGCGTGTCAGCAAGTGCTCCACTTTCTCCCTCATCACCCCCACTACGGACCAAGCCCATTCGATCAGCGACTGTCATGACAGCACTGCTGTGATGGAAATTGGGGTTAATTACGACCCAGTGTAAACAGAGAGACAACATGTCAGTGATAATAGTGTTTGGAAGGAATTATCAGGATTGAGATTGAACATACGATGTCTTGAATGTTTTGGTTGTTGATACATTCACTGTTAGTGACAGCGGTAAAAATTGGAAGAGTACACTTTTATACATGGGGAGAGGTAATTATAAAATCAGTATTTTCTTCAATGGTTTACCTTTTTCTAAAAAACCTTTCATTCACATCAAAGAAATAAAGTACATTATACCTTATGTAAGTCTTGTGTAGTTATGTAGGGCTTAACCTGTCACATTGTCCGTGGGGACACTTTCATTTTTTGCGCTCCCCCCTTCCATAGTGAACTCTTCTGTTTGCGAGTCAGCTCTCATGTCTGCTGTGAGAGAGGGGAAACGATGGAACTTCGTTTGCAAAATAGTATGTGTGCCTAGCATTTTACGTTTTTTCAGTTATGGATTTTAGAAACTAGATAGCCTGGAAATGTACGGTGGCGATTCGTTTTCCCGCCATTTTCATTTTTTCTCAGAACATTTTGGTAAACTTACCTTTGAATGATTTTGTTGTTCAAATTTCCCGCCTCTAGCTTCAGAACGGAGTCCAAATCATGAAATAGACTCTTCCATCTGTCATGTGATGTAAATATTGTAGCCATGTGAATCCAGGCACACCTCCTATTTTTACCGTGAACCCTGAGGGTACGACGATTAGATGGTGCCATTTTGGCAAATGGGAGCATGCCCTTGTAAACCTAACAAGTTGCATATGTGAAGAAATATTCAATTCATTATGAAATAAGAAGGAAAACAAAACAACAATAGACATAATGTTTTATCAAGACATTCTTCACAAGCATATATGTTATTTTTATTTCTGTTTATGAAACTGAAATGTGATGAATTTTGATTAGTTTCACTTTCAAAACAAGATGGCCGCCGTGCCTGACCTCCCTATATGAACTGTGTGATACTGACATGAGGTACTTGTGCTTCTCCCTGACAGCATACAGTTCATTCACAACTTTGTCTATCTGCCTCCGGATCTTCTCCGGCATCTCTGCAATCCTCGCCTCTTGACGTAAGTGCATCTCGTTCCTCCGATGATTGAAAAAACCCTGAATAACATGAGAGGCATAATAACTCTCGACAGAGTACCAGACAGAGAGTGAAAATAACCTCTGCTTTCACTACAGGAACAATTGTAATGATGAGACAGAGCACTCATTACAATAGGCAGGCATTGTGCTACAAGCTATGGAAGTCTTATCTTTGAAAGGCATTTAGAAGTGGAAGAGTTATGGATGTCAACTTCTTCTTTATTGAAAATAGCACAATGTTTCGGAGTGTATGCTTGCGCCTTCATAACTTCATTACCTGATGAAGGTGCAACTAGCATACACTCCGAAAAGTCATGTTATTCACAATAAAGAAGTTGACATCCATAAATCTTGCTTTCTTATGGAAATCTTGCTGTTATATATACCATGAATCTGAAATGACCTCCAGTTTGTAATTCTACTAATAAGGACAGCAACTAGGTCCAAATCCATAAAGCGTTTTGTAGTGTTACAAGCCATTGCAATTCTATGATTGGCTTCGAATGATGAAGCGCAACTAATGCTTTGTGGATCGAGACCCAGGATCTTAACTCTTGGCTATATGATTCACTCTTCTCATAGAGCAAGGGGCAGTTACTCCAAACCTTTATCATTACTGGCGACCTGAAAATACACAGCACTCACTTGATTATTCTTTGACTGGTGGCTGCAGATGACACAGAAACCGGACAACTTGTCCTCATTAGACGGCTGGAACACAACCATTGCCATCATACACATTGTGCACAGACTACGGAACAAACACACTTATAATTGATTCCTGAACACTAATGGTAGGTGGTAAGGGACTGTTCATAATTTATGGCTAGGAGGGAAGGTAGGGGGGGCAGCAATTTTTGTACTTGGAGGTGGGGGTGGGGTTGTGTGTCAAAATTGATTGTGTACAAAATTGATTTTGTACATAACACTGGATGGGAGGAGTCACTTAGTTTGTACATAAATTGTAGGGGGGGGGTTCCATTCACTTTGTATTAGCTTCTCCATAAAAATCATCATCACCATAAATAATGAACGGTCCCTAAAAAAGCTTCTCATGTTGACAACTCTACCTTCTATCAATAACTGTGATCTGGTGCTCAGTACTGCAGATTTGTAACAATACAGAATACATTTGTGTATTGTGATACAGTTAGGGATTCTTTATCTTGGATTCTAAACTAAGTGCATTTGGCATATAATTTGGTGAAAACTATGTTTTGACAAATGTACGTTTGTTAGGGAAACACATGTGATATGAGTTATTATAAAACAATATGAATTAAGAAATCTGTAATTCCAGTTTGGGAAATCAGGGTTTCATATAGACATGCTCAGCGGCCAAATTTCTGCAGCAAATGTCAGTAAAAATGTTGATTTCCTGTTGTATCAGTTACCCAATATTCATGACATGTACCATACATGCCCCATAGTGGAGTCACTGCAGCCCTATTATATACAAGCATTGTCACTAAGGTGACATAATCCCCCTCCACAAATTATCAAATCAAACTTAAAAAGTAATGAAAGTTTAAGATGAAGTTAAATGTCAACAAAAACATGACCAGTCAACCTCTCTTGATATCTTGCTCTTTAGTTGTTCAAACACACAAATATTTTCAAGACTGACTTTGACCTTGACATGAAAGTCATAGTGTATGAAATATGCAAAAGTGGTACTAAAGAAATTGCTTATTGAAAAACATTCAAGGGAAGTCTTGAAAGTCTATGAAGAAAATCCAGTGAATTCAGGTTAACATGCTGAAATCTTCAAAGTGTCTTAGTTACCTTGAAAATAATGTGAAGGTCACCAAATTGACTGGGCCCTGCGCCTTCATTAGATGAAGCTTGGTGTCAAATATGAAAATAATCCACTGAATGGTTTTTGCGATATCTTGCTGACTATATTAACATGCAATTTAACATGGTGAAATCTTCAAAGTGTCTTTGTGACCATGAAAATTAAGTGAAGGTCACCAAAATCGACTGGGCCTTGCACTTTCCCTAGATGAAGCTTGGTGTCAAATATGAAGAAATTCCAGTGAATGGTTCTTGAGGTATCTCGCTGACAAGCATAACATGCAGGTTGATATGCTGAAATCTTCAAAGAGTCGCCATGACCTTGAAAATTATGTGAAGTTCACCAAAATCGACTGGGCCCTGCGCCTTCCCTAGATAAAGCTTGGTGTCGAATAAGAAGAAAATCTAGTGAACGGTTATTGAGATATCTTGCTGACAAGAGTAAACCATTAAAGTCCCCTTGTGACCTTGAGATGAAGGTCAAGGTCACCAAACCTAACTGGTACGTTTCTTATACTGTGATGAACCTAGGTACCAAATATGAAAATAATATAGTCAAAGTTTCTTAAGATATCCCAATTCGGACGGAGCCTAATACTACATACCCCACTTCGCGCTAAACTCGCGGCGGGGGATAATAAATAAAATCTAATAATGTAAGTGAGTGAGTAAAGTTTTAAGTTGCACTCATAAATATTCCGGGGGTCTGTAAACAATCGAGTCTGGACCAGACAATCCAGTGATCAACAGCATGAGCATCGATCTACACAATTGGGACATGATGACATGTGTCAACCAAGTCAGTGCATCTGACCGCCCAGTCCTGTTAGTCATCTTTCACAACAAGCATAGGTTACTGAAGATCACTAATTACAAATCACATTGAATTTTTAGATTTTCATTTTTCAAAACATGTGTTCTTACCACATTTTTCTTCATGGTGTCAAGATAAATTTGACCTGGAAGAAAAATCATTATTATTAAAATTCACTCAAAAACATCAACAGTGGTCATCATCTCATCCTCCAGGAGGCAGTATAGATATCTCGAAATATACATGCTTAAACATCAACATAAATTAACATTACATTGGCCCCATGCCATTAACTGATCTTAGTGCTAAGATGATCATAGGTTAATGTCAAATTATAGGACTTATGATTGGCCCCACTAACATACACCTCAATGGTAATCAATGTTATTGTCATGTGAAGAATAGTTCTAAACAGGAAAGTGGCTTTTCCAAGATTGCCACATTGGTGATAAACCTTATCATCTAATGCTATTTGATGCAACTTAGTTGGCAGAACAGACAATGGGAGCTGAGAATACAGTTTGGTTCATAGTTGTCTGCTGACCAGAATTACAGTTGTTGAGCACCATGATCATGGTTAATGGTGAGAAGTCTAATACAAACATACTTTCTTATTAATATTCAATGTTAAAGCAGGCTAGTGCCACCTTCATAGTACATATTTAACTGACACATCTGTGATCAGGCAATACATCCACTGAGGACGTTTGCTCTTATGGCCAACATATAGCATTGTAAAAAATGTTTGTCAACAGAGAGCAGTAACACACACAGAGGACAATGCATCCTGATATACCGGTAATTGCCAACATATGCCATGTGTAACACACACACTGAGAACAATGCGTCCTCTCACCATGGCCAACATATGCCATGTGTAACACACACACAGAGGACAATGCGTCCTCATAACACCGCCAGCATAAGCCATGTGTAACACACACACACACACACACACAGGAGAGGACAATGCATCCTCTCACTATGGCCAAAATTAGCCATGTGTAACACACACACAGAGGACAATGATCCTCTCAATGTGTAACACACACACAGAGGACAATGCGTCCTCATAACACCGCCAGCATAATCCATGTGTAACACACACACAGAGGACAATGCATCCTCTCACTATGGCCAACATTAGCCATGTGTAACACACACACAGAGGACAATGCATCCTCATAACACCGCCAGCATAAGCCATGTGTAACACAAACACAGAGGACAATGCGTCCTCATAACACCGTCAACATAAGCCATGTGTAACACACACACACGGAGGACAATGCGTCCTCTCATTATGGCCAACATATGCCATGTTTAACACACACACAGAGGGCAATGCGTCCTCATAACACCGCCAGCATAAGTCATGTGTAACACACACACACAGAGGACAATGCATCCTCTCACTATGGCCAACATAAGCCATGTGTTAACACACACATCATAACTCGCCAGCATAAGCCATGTAACACACACACAGGACAATGTGTCCTCATAACACCGCCAGCATAAGCCATGTGTAACACACACACACAGAGGACAATGCATCCTCTCACTATGGCCAACATAAGCCATGTGTAACACACACACACAGGACAATGTGTCCTCATAACACCGCCAACATATGCCATGTGTAACACACACACGTAGAGGACAATGCGTCCTCATAACACCGCCAACATATGCCAACATATGGCGTCCTCTCACCATGGCATGCACACGCATGCACAAGCGATGCTGCGATCGCGCATTCACGCACACACGCAGAGCACACACACACACACACACACACAGAGGATATTATCTAGTCATGGCCAACATATACCCTTCTTAAACAGAGCATTATAATGCATCCTCTTATTATGGCCTGCATGTATCCCATGTACTACATATACTGCATGTATGTATATAAACCACACTGAGGACATTGCGCCCTCAAACCATGCCCAGCATATACCACACGTAACACCTCTGTGAGCTGAGAACAGTTACACCCACACTGAGGACAATTTGTCCTACCATGACATCACACTGAGGACACATGCTGAGAACAGTTCCTCACACTGAGGACAATGTGTCCTCATACCATGACCATCATATACCATGTGTCAGGACGACTGTGTCCAACATATCCAACACCTCTGTGAGCTGGGAGCAGCTCTCTGCTGGGTTACCCATGAAAGGTGTGTCACCCTCTGATTCTACAATGGCCACTACGGGCCAGTCACTACAAGTCATTCTCTGAGAGATGTACAAGAGCTGCAGCCTTCATCACCCAATGGCAGGATGATCTACACTAGACTAGTTGACAGTAGTTGACAATGGGAAACTCTGGACTCTTACACGTTTTCAAGAATTTTCGATCATTCATTTCCTGCAATAAACAGAAGAGAGCAGATCATTACATTTACAACATACTACTGTTGGTGTAATGGCTGGAACATATACTACACAATGTAACACACTGAATGGCATCACGGTTGATTGCTATAATCATGGTAATTACCAGGTAGACATTTGAAGTTCGAAGTTATGAACAGTTTCTTTCAATTATGAATGAAAGGGCTCTAAAACCTAAGGTTTGAGCAAGCAATATTGAAGATAAAGTAAGTAGGATTATGTTATTGATGTCCTTGGCAGACTTTAAACTTGTTTTTAAGTTAACTGGTGAGCCGCCAACATGGCCCAACTCCATTTCTGTTGGCATTAACAAGAATGCTTGTTTGCCTTTCAATTTCTCAATCAGCAATATTCTAGCTATCTGACAGAGACGAGTAAACGTGTCAGGACTTTACAATCCAGTGACTGATGTTATGACCATGCTGTCTGTGTACAAGGAAACGCAATGAACCAGGTCACCAGGTGTGACCAGCTGATCCATTAGGTTACTTCCTACTACCAGCATATGTTTGCTCGGGAGCTAAGTGGAACTGCCCTGAGTGGTTGACAATCATGGAGCCATGCTTCTAATAATATCATCTTGTGCATGATTGCCATAAATCTTTAACCTTTTCAATGATGACAATTTGAGTATTAATCGATAAAATCAAGGTATACACTGAGTTTAGTTTTAACCTTGATTCCAGTGGATACGGCTGGGGAACCAGCAGTGAAATTAAATATTTATGTGGGGAAAATGCACGATTTCATTTTGTATACTCACTGATTATTTTATTAACTGATTCAGCAAATTAATACTAAATGCGATTTCATTTTGTATACTCACTGATTATTTTAATATTCACACTCCACTAATGAATGAAACATTTGTTTAGCGAAGCCATTTGCAATCATCACCTATTTGGGTGCACACAATATGTGATGTCACCTTGTTACATGGATTACAAAAACTCCAGGGATAGAAATACTTTTTTTCTAAGTGTGCCTTAGGGCACCAGACAAACATCTTAGATGTGCCTTTCAGAAGTCAAGTGTGCCCACATGTTTTAAGAATAAATGACTGTAGCAGTGATGATGATCATTTGAAATTTATTGTTAGTAAACAACAAATGTAACCTGTTTTCTGTTTTCACTGATATGTCTTCTGTTTCAGATGGCTTTCTTAAGCTTCATTTGTTCTGCTTTCCCCCAACAACTTTAATAGCTAAGAATTTTGTGACAGGTTCACTTGTTCAATATATCTAGCATGCACAATTTCCTGTTCAATAACCAAATTATCAGTACTCCCTTCACTCTAAATGGAAAAACAACCACATTTCTTTACATCTTCCATCATAATTCCAGTGATTTCCTGGGTGATAAAGTGAATAAATGTTTTTACTTGTTTGTCATTTGCATAAGTGTTTTGTTTGGGGGATTAAATGACTGAAGGTGAGTTATGTCTCTAAAAACATTAGGTGTGCTATAAGGGCACCGAGAACATTTTTTATCCGTGCCATTTCAAAATTTACTGTGCCATGGCACGCTAATACATGGGGTATTTCGAAGCCTGAAATCGCTATGTATGACGGCCCATTGCAGTAAGTATTGACACTAAGAAAGCAGACGTTGAGATGTGACAAGGGTGGTGCTAACGGTATTGTTTTTACTTGACATTTTGTAAAAAAAAATTTGTTATTAGTGGCATTAGTGATCTTGGGCTATTTATCTCAGTGCTGGACAATTAGATTTAGTGTATTTATGCATAATGCAGAGATTCGGAACATTTTTGAGAGAAAGGCATGGCACTGTGTATACATCAAAAGTACCGCTTTGTGACTTCACATGAGACATACTTTACGAGATAGCATGATAATTACCTCGATCCACGAATGAAGGTTATCCACAAATTTAGGTTACGGATCTGTAACACAATCTGCCAGTTCTCACATTGTTGGCTCTTACCACAAGATGTAGTATTCTCAGATATACAGAATTCTTGGGAACACTACTAATAACAGCGAGTCCACCTCATAATTCTTTATCATAAAACAATGCCATAGAAAACTTATGTATTCAGAATGAAAAGATGCTTACATTGCCTCCTTGGAACGGTCCTCTTGGACCACCCTGGAATGGTCCAGGTCCCCTTGGGCCACCATGAAATGACCCTCTTGGGCCACCCTGAAATGGACCCGGTCCTCTTGGACCACCCTGGAATTGTCCTCTAGGTCCACCTCCCATCCCCCTGAAGGACCCAGACATTGGTCCTCTGGGTCCATCTCCCTGAAGCAAAGTGAATGAGTGTGAAAGAGGGAGACAGAAAGAGATTTATAGTGGGAGTGAGTTAGGACAGGACACAGCTAGACAAGTCATTGACCAGTCCTCATTAGTTAAAATCTTACGAGCGGCATTGAGGTACCAATGACTGTCCTAAAGCACAACTATCTACTGGTAAAAATGACTTTTTCAGTGACCATTCAAATTCGTTGCCATAGCATGCGATATAGCTTCTACTAGATTGAAAAAATTTACCACTTGAAATTTCTTGTAGGTTTATATACATTGTGTTGTTTCCATTTTGAGTTTGGTTCTTTGTGAAATTTGTTGCTGAAATATATTTTGCGGAAACAAACCATCAACATTATAAACATACTGACTTAAAACATCAGTCAGCGAGACAAGCATTATCACTTATGACTTTTAACATTGATGTGAGTTTGTAGCTCATTTCAAACAACATTTCAGCTATATCAAAGCATGTCAGTTTTATATTTGAAGAATACCCAGAATCAAGGAAACGTATTACTTTGGTCACTATACACAGTATCACGCATGGATCTGACAAACCAGGTGATCATAATCAAGGAGAATACTACATTCAAGACTCCAATCAGTGGATCCTGAAATTGGTAAAGAACAAAACTCTGCACAGTGAGATAGATTGACTTCATCCTGAAATAATGATGCTATGTCACAAGAAGAAAAGGACTTCTCAGTACAATGTATTATTACCCACGAGGTCAACGTATTGGTAGTTGCATACTAATCTCGTACGTCACATGAGTGTCATATCGCGTTGACCTGTGTCGTAACGACTTGACCTGAGATTCTAACGATTTGATTGGATAACTGATGACCTCTCAATTAGGTCACATTCTGACATAACTATTTTTTCATTCATAACAAACACGTGAATTCATTCATTCTACAACTTAAACGCATTGTGAGAATGTAAACATTGCAAACGTTGCCGTGTCGCTGTTTAATTGTGAGTCGAACTGAGACATTATATCCGTCGAAAACATAAACGCCAATGTTTCCACCAGTGATGTTAGCGAATGAAGCAACTGGAAACCAAGAAAGCGAGGTGCTCACGGAGTAGTTTACTGTAGGAGGCTGTAACGGCGATGACAACTGACATGCATAGTGACATCGGTTACCAAGGCAGTGGCGTCATTACAGTGACACGTCATGCAAATATTGTACTACAGTACAAAACTCTTCCGCAACCTCTTTATGAAACCCGGTTTGGGTTTGAAACCAAAACATAACAAAATACGCTATTTTGTCAATTTAATGCATGTAAGACGTGGGTAACAAATAAAATACCACACTCAGTCTCATTACATACGAATTATACGAAACTCGTGACCTTCCTATGTTATCTGACCTCGCTTTCGCTCGGTCAGGTACCATGGGAAGGACACTCGTTTCGTATAATTCGTATGTAATGAGACCTCGTGTAGTATTCTCTATGTACACAATGATAATGTTTATCTTTAGTACACTAAACAGTAGTGGTGGTCTGATTAATTGAAATAATCGAAGATTGGTCGCAATGACTACACGATCAAGCAATCGATCATGTTTTCTCATAATCGAACGCTAACAATTTTGGAATACTTGTTTCCATTAACAACATTTTTCAGAAGGCTGGTTTTGTCTGTTACATTTCATAACGCTACAAGCTCGTTCCAAGTCATGATTTCAAAGTCATCTAAAGACTTCAGGAAATTTATGTTCTTAACATACTAGTCACCCTTTAAAGCGGTGAAATTTTAAATGCATTCAGTGCAATTTGCAAAAAAATAACCAAACGAAAGAACTATATGTTTTTTGTGTGCATTAACAAACACCAGAAAAATGATGTGATAAATGACGCTTACCAATTAACTTCAATGATTGATTGGTTGTGATGAACCAATAATCAATTATGAGATTTTAACAAATTCCCAACACTACTAAACAGTGACATGTTTAAAATGGTTACATGGACTGTACACTGAAGCAAGGTTCAAATCACACATATTCTGCAGAGTTCCTTATAAAAGAAAGTTTATCCTTAAAAGTAGCTCACCCTCATTGCCATTGCGTCTCCTCGTGGGCTCATCATACTGGGGCCTCCTCTTCCTCGTGGGCCCATGTGCCTTGGTCCAGCACCAGTATTAACCTCATTTGAGATGCCAACACGACTGGCAAGCTTTTCTATAACTTCACTTTGTTTTTGGATGAGCTCAACAAATGCTGTTTGTCTGCTGTCTGCCATTTGGTTGCTGCCACCACTACCAAAACTTTGTTCAGTCATCATATTCATCCCAGTTTGGCCTCCCATCATACCACCTTGTCCACCCATCATGTTACCTTGACCTCCCATCATGTTACCTTGACCTCCCATCATACTGCCTTGACCTCTCATGTCACCTTGACCTCCCATCATGTTACCTTGACCTCCCATCATGTCACCTTGACCTCCCATCATACTGCCTTGACCTCCCATCATGTTACCTTGACCTCTCATCATGTCACCTTGACCTCTCATCATGTCACCTTGACCTCTCATCATGTCACCTTGACCTCCCATCATACCACCTTGACTTCCAATGCCACCTTGACCTCCCATCATACCTCCATAACCTCCCATCATGCCACCCTGACCTGCCATCGTACCACCCTGACCTCTGCTCTTAATACCACCTTGACCTCCCATCATGCCTCCATAGCCACCTTTACTTTTGCCCATTGCCGCACCTTGACCTCCTTTCCTCCCGCCTTGCCCTCTTTTGAAGTTCCTCATTGTGCTGAAAATACAAAGAGATGAGAAGGTCAGATATGTCAACACATATGTCATTGCCTTTAAAGCAGGGTCTAAAGGTATGTAGCGACCACAAAATTTTCAAGTCCCATGCTGAGATTCGAACCACAGACATGATCCGACGTCAGACGCCTTGTCCACATGACCAAAGAGATTATCCCTGTCAGCAAGCTGGCAAGGTAAGGGTGTCATCTGTGGGATGACTCCACAGCCTGCTACATACTCCCTAGACTACATACTCCCCATCAGCCTGCAACATACTCCCCGGGCTGAATACAAGGATACTGAGACACATTTTGCTCAAATTCAATATGCATGTGCTCAGTCCCACATTGGGAGCCAATGTAGAGGCCATAAAATTTCCGAGGCCCATGCTGATATTCGAACCACAGATCTTCTGATTCAACGTCAGATGCCTTGCCCACATGACCAAAGAGGTTAACCCTGTCAGCAGTTGACAAGGTATAGGATGTCATCTATAGGAGACCTGTGAAGATCCGAGGTAGAATAGGTCTTCAGCAACCCATGCTTGCCACAAAAGGTGACTATGCTTGTCGTAAGAGGCAACTAATGGGATCGGGTGGTCAGGCTCGCTGACTTGGTTGACACATGTCATGCGCAGATCGATGCTTATGCGATTGATCACTGGATTGTCTGGTCAATACTTGATTATTTACAGACTGCCGTCATATAGCTGGAATATTGCTGAGTGCGGCGTAAAACTAAACTCACTCACTCGCTCATCTATAGGATGACTCCACGGCCTGATAGTAGGAACTCACTGAAAATGTTTAGAGGCACAGCCTAAAGAGATTTTATATTTTAAATGAAAGGGTACTCACTGACTGACTGTTTAGAGGCTTTTAGCAATATTCCAGCCCGGAAGGGGGACACCAGAAATTTTTCACATATTTACCCATGTGGGGATTGAAAGGGCGAATAGCCAACTTTAACCACTAGGCTACCTAATTTCATGTACACCTAATTTTACATGTTTTTGAACCTACCTTCCCACTGCATATAAGCGTCATGACCTCTTCCTCTTGTAAAATTGTTTTTATTATTTCTATTACATACTTCTATGTGTCCAAAAACATTTCTTAAAATAATCAGGGAGGAAGGGTAGCCTAGTGGTTAAAGTGTTTGCTCATCACGCCAAAGACCAAGGTGGGTTCAATTCCCTGCATGGGTACAATGAGCGAAACCCATTTCTGGTGTCCTGCTATAAGGGTAATGCTATTTTTGAGGGCATTATCATTTGCAGAAGCCCGAGGTCTTCCATTAACTGCCGAGGAAGGAGGGCAGTTGAAAAAGACCGAGGGCTTCTGCTAAATGATAATGCCCTCAAAAATAGCATTACCGTTATTATTGCTAACATAGATGGAATTTGTGTTGAAAAGAAAAAGAAAACAATGAAGGAATTTGACTGTAAGTTTACCCAAATCAACTTCTGACGGGGTTGACTGCCCGAATGCAATTACATCATCGAACAATTCAAGTGACGTCACAACAGAAAGTGACGATATTCGACCTTGGCCTTTCACAAGACCATAGCCTGCAACATGTCAAACGATGTCAGTGTTCGGTTTTGGTCCATCAACAGCCTTAATATTGCAATTGTTAAGGTTAGCACCAACAAGAAAGCCAATATTACCGCTATTTAAAGCGGGAATTCGGGTTGCTTTGACTTGTTTAGCCCAGAATATCTGCCTGTCGAAAGCCAATTAATGTCGAATGAACCGTGAGCCCACGCACCCACTATGACGTCAGTTGACAACAGAACTAATAGTGGCCCGTCGTTAAGGTTGAGCGGTCCAATATCGTTTGCAGCGGCCCGCAAATTTCTGATAATGGGAGGGCCGTTTCATGATAATTCCATGTATTTTAGCTATATATGGTGATATTGCAGGAATATTGCTAATAGTGTTGTAAAGCTTACTTCACTCTCACTCACTCTTAGACAACCAAGTATTACAATATAGCTAATTTTCAGTGGTTACTTTCATCAATTTTGCTTTGCCTAAAGAAACAGAGAATTTTCCCATGAATTCAAAACAGCAAAGAATATTTGTGTACGAAGAGGGTTGAAGAGGAGGGACATACATGTTTCTCTGGCATGCAAACAAATAAATATACAAGCGAGTCCGGTCATTCCGCACGTCCAGTAATTCTGCGCAGCTGCAATAGCGTACATCCGTATCGAAGGTAAACATCGTCTGCTACCACATTTACACTTGAAACTGAGGCATTTCTATTAGGGACTGGCTTTTAATCACTAAAGGTAAGTAAATATAAGTAACTGACAGATAAATTGACAGTTTTATGAAAATTAGTTTTCTTCAGACTTTTAAACCTTTTTCTTCATTATTCATAATTGGATTTATTATGAAACACTCTTCCTTACATTGATGAAGTGATTTTTGAAAATAATCTGGCCCTAAGATGCTTCCATACTTCGGATCTCCAGCTGGATGTTAAGTGCATCAGTTGCTGCACAGAATTACCGGACAGCAAGCGATGTCGTCAGAACGCCGGTAAGGTCAACCGTATGGCATAATGCAACGTTAGAATCTTATAGTCGTCAATAAAACTTATATTTCTAGGTAACTATGATGCATACCAGAATGTTTTGTCACATACACCACAAAAAATAAGAGACGTTAGTTGCCGTGTTGCGATCGATGTGCTTAGGTGCGCGGAAATACCGGACGGCATTGTATAACGTACAGTAGTTGGCCATAAGTGAGTCATCATTAGTGAAATTCCCATAGACTTACATGTTAATTAACTCTTGCAAGAATAATTTTTTCAAATTGAGTAGAAGTTATTTTATTTTGATATTTTGCAAACATCTTGGAAATCATCTTCAGCTACGTGTGCATAATTTTCTTTCATCTTTCCGTTAATTAATTATCGAATGACACCTGACTAAGCACCATATATAATTACAACTTTTAATCTATCCCATAGACAGCCATGTTAGACATGATTGGTATGTCTAATATATGTTGTTTAAATAGTTGCAGTTTTCTTAATAAGCATCGGAAAATTACTGAATGGAAATTATGTATATGTAGCGGAGATGATTTCCCAACTGGATAAGTATTGAACATCGACCGAACCTAAATTTATGAAAGTTATTCTTGCAAGAGTTTATTACCATGCAAGTCTATGGGAATTTCACTAATGATGACTCACATATGGCAACTACTGTAACAATAAACACGAATTATCAGGAAATGTCAGTCATCAATTTTAGATTATTAATATTCTAGATATTCCGCTGAACTAATTTCAGCAGCAGCGTCTTGTCAAGTGTCTAGCCTCTGGGTCTAAGTCAAAGAGCACCTACTCTGTTCTGTGAAGATCATGTAGCACTGCCCACTGTCCTTCCCTTGTCGTATTTCAGAGAGACGGTGATGCTATTGGATTATAAGGCACGTTTGTCGCTTTATCGCACAAAACTTCCGACTGATGATATTCCGTATCACCGTGGAAAATGCCGCTTCTTGGTAGTTATCTCCCTTGACAATCGAGCCCCGGTCAAAACGGACCCAGCAATTGTGTCAAAACGCCCCATATTTTCTTGTCAAAATGAACAATTGTTTGTCAATTATTTTTAGCCACCTAAGGTAAGTCTTGATAAGAAATCTATACATCAAGTATCAAGAACTATGCAGGCTCGATTTCCCTTCAAAGATTTATTTGTAAGATCCAGATGAAATCAATTCCTGTCAAAGAAATCATTATTGAATTTATAATCAGGATATAATATCAACCATTAAATCAGACTTGTCTAGTATAAATATGAAGAACTCCACTCATTAAATATGCAATGACATTAAATAATAAATGAGATAAAATAATGACATTGTGTACATCTGTTGTTCTGTATCTGGTGAAGAATTGGTCATATGTAAGTGTTATCATTGTGAGGTAGTGAGGGAACGAGTAAACAGAACATTATTCCATCTCAGTGTGCTGGCAGCTTAATATGGCCGTAGTGCCCCAAGTGACACAAATCTCAGATGCTTCCTTTCCACCCTGAAAACCGTCCTTTTCTCCAGAGCATATGGCTAAGCACACTTGAGCAAGGATTCTCTGGATATGATGCGCTATATAAATGCCCAATGTATTTTTATTATTAATAATTTCTACTGTGGTGAACAATCCTAACCAATTTATTCAAATACAGGCTGGTTTCCCCACATGCAAGGGAAACTGGTCTAAACCACCTGATGGTATGAATGAACTCATTTGAGTGTGAGAAGAGCAGTTTTGAATAATTTACAATACTTGTTGAAATATTGTCTAGTGCATCAATAAACTAATTCAACACAGAATGTTAGCAATATTCCAGCAACATCACGGCAAGGGGACACCAGAAATGGGCTTCACACATTGTACCCATGTGGGGAATCGAACCTGGGTCTTCAGCGGGACGAGTGAACGCTTTAACCATTATGCTACCCACCACCCCTACAGAATGTTAGTGGGTTGATTGGGTAAAAATACTGCATTGAAAGGTATTCCAGTAATATGATGGTGTGTCAGTTCAATAAGGGATGAAGGTTGGAAGTGATGCAGGTCCAAGAAAATTTAACACTTTGGTGAAACCCACGAGTACCAGTACTCGCAGTGCTTTCAAGTCTTCGATCATCATCAGGGCGAAGCGAGACTTGAACTTCGATCATAGGTTTTAGGCATGACCATGCAGGGCTCGATTTCAGCATTTAGAACTTGCACTGGTGCAACCTGAAACTGCTAAATGCAGCCTCTCATGTATATCAACTTGCACCCTGTGTATGTTAATATTTTGTGTTCAAAGAACAAAGACTTCAGCTGGAAAACAAGAACCTGGCTTGGAACGGTGACTCTGATTATTGTAGGAACAGTGACTGAAGGACTTGCTGTTCATGAAAGTTTAGGAAGTAAGATAACTACAGATTTCTTTTGTTATAATACTGTTCTAAACCGTCTTTACCAAAACTCAAGCATTATATAAGATATTACATTAAGCAGCAGGTGCAACCTGTTTTTATTTGGTGCAACAAGGTGATTGCCTTAGGTTGCACTGGGTGCAAGTAACTTTTATTTCCTTAACTGGATGCAACTCTGAACAGCTAATCATAGGCGGATCCTTTGGGGGTGCACATCTCCCCCCACCCGTCCTGAAAGTTTATTAAATGACCATTAAAACTCTCGTGAAAGCAGGTGAAAATGAACTGTGCACCCTGTTTCTCAAAAATGTTTATCCGCCCCTGCTAATAATGTTCATGTTGTAAAGGAATCATAATCACAATGTATCTTTTATTCAGTCACCAAATCATGGAGTAGCAAAGGGACACTACTCTGCACAGACAGTGTATCAACTTTTGACCATCCTTGTCATTGTATTGTGTTTAATTTGAACAGTGTTATATGTGCATCTAATGCTTAAAATACAGTCTAAATTCATGTAAACAATTCTTAGGTCTGTTTTGACTGTATGCTGCCCTTCAACATGAAGCAGTTTAATACATTGAAATCAGTCTTGTTACCTCCAGTGGTTGATAGAATGCTCCATCTTGTTTTATACTTCATGCTTTTTAAAGTGGAGAATGTCATAATAGGTTGCTCTAACAAAATTTGGATTTCTAGTTGAGAGTCTTATGTCTTTTGTCTGATTAGTGAATGCTGCCAAACACCCCCTACAGCAAGGGACATACCCTTGAGAGCCACCCGAAACCATACTCAAAGACTACAAAGTCACAATGGTAATTTGCATACATATTTTATTTCTTATATATGAAAACCGCAAAATATTCTCTTTCAATCAGCATTAATGAGAGCTCAGCAATAATTATTCATACAGCAAAAACAGCATGTTTTATCAAATATACTGCTCAAAGTTGATTGATTGATGTTGTTTAACGCTGCACTCAGCAATATTCCAGCTATATGGCTGCAGTCTGTAATAATGGAGTCTGGAGCAGACAATCCAGTGATCAACAGCATGAGCATCATACTACGCAATTGGGATACGATGATGGATCAACCAAGTTAGCCAGCCTATACCACTCATCTATTACAGATTAACTATAGTGATCTGAAAAAATGAGGTGACCTTTCCCTTCTTCTGAGTAGTATATACATAGTGAGTGAGTTAAGGGTTTACGCCAGACTCAGCAATATTCCAGCTATATGGTGGGGTCTGTAAATAATCGAGTCTGGACCAGACAATCCAGTGATCAACAGAATGAACATCGCAATTGATCTGCGCAATTGGGAACCGATGACGTGTCAACCAAGTCAGCGAGCCAGACCACCCGATACCGTGAGTTGCCTCTTACGACAATCATGGGTTACTGAAGATCAATTCAAACCCGGACCTTCACAGGTCGGTATATACATGATGGAAAAGGAACATTACATGAAAATGAGGGAGTGGGTTTTAGCAATACTTGACCAGTGAAGAGCCGGGTTAGAATTGATCTTCAGTAACCCATCCAAGAGGCGACTAACGGGATCAGGTGGTCAGGCTCGCTGTCTTACTCATACTTATTTGTTTGTCTCAAAACAGAATGACTCCAATGTACTTCAATTAGGCAACAATTAATTTGATGACAGGAACTTATCAGCTATCAAGTATTTGTGTACCATAGCATGACTGTGTGGTGTAAATGTATCTTTGGTTGCTGCATTAACAGGGAATGATGATGTGTCGGAATGAAGGTAAAGTGAAAAATGAACAAAACGGTGAAGCATAAAAAATGAAACAAATCAATCAACACAAATCAAAGACAACATGTATATTGAAAACCCCCAAACATTTTCAATATACACATGTACTTGATGAATGAATGTATTCAGAGTATGTATCAGTTTCTTTTGATTTGAGGATGTTTTTGTAAACATAGAACTGCTTAAGAATGGTGCTTGAGAAGACGGTTTTGACTAGTAGCAGTTGCTGTCCAGTGCAAGAACCAGCCTGGTGGTAGTCAGGTCTCCAAGGCTTGACATAAGACAGTTTCCAGTTTCCACTTGTCCTCCCCGAGAAACTGAAAGTCCTTAAATGTTGTCCAGTAATGGATCCCTCAAACTTCCTTTAGTCCTCTCATTGAACCTGAGTGTCCTCTACATGTCATTAAGAGGTGAACCCAAGACAACCTCAAGTGTCCACAAATCCTCCCCTAGAACCTGACTGTCCTCTATATGTCGTCCAAAAGTGAACCCAAGACAAACTCAAGTGTCCACAAATCCTCTCCTTGAACCTGAGTGTCTTCTACATGTTGTGCAGACGTGAACCCAAGACAACCTCAAGTGTCCACAAATCCTTCCCCAAGGACCTGAACACCTTCTCCGAGTCCTCCAGAAGATGACATAGAGCCCTAGAATCAGATGTCCTCTACATGTCCTCCAACTTGATACCGCTGGCTATCATGCTGCTGGTCTTCGGTTCTGGGTACTGACCCATGTCAACTTCCTCTGGGTTGTTCTTGTTGAAGAACAAGTCCTGAAAATAAGGCAAGTCAGTTGTATTGGTTAAGTTTGGTCTAATGCTGCTTATGATATAGTATTCCAGTCACCTCACTGCAAGTCAGCTCAATATAGGAGGAAAGCTTTAATTGATGCAGGTCTCAGATGTAAACACTTTGTAAAACACAGCGGTATGGGTATGGTGCTCTCAAACTAAGAAACATTATCTGAGCGAACCTAGATTTTCGAAGCTCTCTTAGCCCTAATGTAGTCGTAAGTTAATGTTAATGTATGGCACTTACGACTATCTTAGCGCTAAGAGAGCTTCGAAAATCTAGGCCCTGGACTTAACCCATGATCACCCGTGAAGATCCAGGGTAGAATTGGTCTCCAGTAACCCATCATAAGAGGCAACTAACAGGATCAGGTGTTCAGGGTCGCTCATTTGGTTGACACATGTAATCGTATCCCAATTGCATAGATCGATGCTAATGCTGTTGATCACTGGATTATCTGGTGCAGACTCGATTATTTACAGACCGCCGCCATATAGCTGGAATATTGCTGAGTGCGGCATACAACTAAACTCACTCACTCAACCCATAATCGTAGGTTTCTGGTGTTATTTTGGCTGAACAACATAACATTAATAGTCACAGAAAATGGGTCTGTGATACCACATTCAGCATCCTATGGCATCTGAGTATGAAGTTTGTTTCTTTGATATTTAACACCACACTCAGCAATATTCCAGCAACATGGTGACAGACTGTAAATGATCAAGTCTGGATCAGACAATCCAGTGATCAACAGCATGAGCATCGATCTATACAACTGGGATACAATGACGTGTCAACCAAGACAGCAAGCTTAACCACCTAATCCCATTAGTCGCCTCTTACGACAAGGTTGCTCAAGACCAACTCTAATCCAGATCTTCAGGGGTTCTGGGTTTGAAATACAAATGTATCTTGCTTCACCAGCCAGTCCACAAAATTAACAACAAACACAGATTAATATTAGTAGTAGTATTATACTAACATTTGTATAGCGCCAATATCCAGCTCAGCTACTCAAAGGCGCTCTGTGTTTCTCTGATTTTCATGCTTTGCATGTTGCTGTACCCGCAACTAGGTGTTTGCACGTATATATGGTCGATTCCAACGAAAAGTGTACACAGCTAGGTACAAGGGGTCCAAAATAGAATTGCTTGCACCTTGTAATTCTTTTTACCAATGTAAAGTCAACATATTTGCCTCTTGTGAAAATCAGTTGCCATCACTAATCTCTACAAGTGACAAGTTGGTGGATCAGTGAAGTTGAAGGCTCATTTTCTGAATTACCTACAAATACCAACATCATACCTTGTATATCCGGTGATTAGATGGGTTATATGTTGCCTAACATCCAAATTCACTGTTGTTCTGCATGCACAATATGTTAATGACTATAGAAACTCTGAAGCCATATCATGGTTTCTTTCATGTTTTATAACCTCAAGCTTTACAAAATAGAACCATTTTGGTACCTTTGTTTGATGTAAGTGAGATAGCACCACTTAGTGTTCTTTTCACAAACAAATCATTGTTACATATCTATCTTATTCATCTGAGAGACAACGGGTGGAACTTTCGGTAAGTACAACAAATTTGAAAATGCATCAAAAACTAAATTTTCGGTGGAAGATAAAAAACAATGTACTTGTAGGTAACAAATATCACATAATTCCTTGTATTTCATAAATGTTTGTATATGTCAAACTAAATCATAGCTGGTTTATTAAAACATCAAACAGTTTGGAAATTGTTTATCTAAATGCATAGGACATGTGAATAAAGATTGTTTACAACCAGTTTAAGGCTTTCTCTTTGTTTTGTCTCAGTGTATGTCGGAAAGTAGCAATGTCATTTTAACTGATGGAAATATACTACTCATCAAAAGTTTAGACTCAAACACTCACTCACTATGTGTTATGTACATGTATATATATGTGTGGTTACATCGAAGATCGATTTCTCCACTACCTTGGGAGAACCAACTGCAAACCTTATGCAGATGAATTGCACAAGAATCATTCATCAAATTGCTGAAAAGCATGTGTAAATATCGTACATGTGAACAGCTGCGTTTTGGTGTGTAGTTTTGTTCAGAATTCGCCAATTTTCACTGATTTTTATCATTTATTGAACAATAACCTTTTCAATATTACGAATTTGTTTTACAATACATCATTTCATGTGTAAACAGTACCTTTAAACAGTATGGAATATTTTGCAAAATCTATTTTAAAACAGTTGCCTGAAGTAAGTGGCTATATTTACACTAGTGAGTCTCAACTGTTGATGAGAAGTATAGAAATTGAACTAAAATCATTACACCTGAAATTTCATTTACCAAATGTTTCAACTGTATTCAAAGAAAGCACATCACAAATGTTTAAAACGCTTGAACTATTACCATATACCATTATGTACAGATAAACATGTCACCAAAACAATCAATACATTATACGTCTTACTGAACTATAACTCTGCTTTAATTACCCATATTTTGCAATGACAATTGCTATTAGATAGACATTTACAGAAAGTTTCAACTACAAAAACGAGTTATCTACAAATAAGACATACCTTTGACAAATCTAATTACTAAACCCATGCAACTTACTTCTACTACAATCTCAATTCTCCTATGTTCGCAAGTGCATCGGTGACAGCCCTGAGCAATACATACAACTTCAAACACACTGACTGATGTTACCTACAAATACGGAATGTTACCAACGAATACACATGTTACCTACAAATCTACCGTTTATCGCGTGATATCATGCAAACTTTTACTTTTATCACCAAGATGAAATTGTTTTCTGACATTTCAATCAAAAAGAATTCATTATATCACTATAATAAAGTCTAAACCCCGAACTGCAGTGCATCCCTGAATAGAACATTTTTATTGAACACTCAGTTATGTAACCATTTGAAATTCCAAGGATCCATTTCAATCTATTAATTGGCAGTACTGCGTACCTAATCAGTTTTATGATCTGCAATAATTGTCTTTAGTATAAATTATTATGTTATAGTAGCGTATTGTGTTCTCAATTTCATTTTGTTAACAACAAATACATGTTACATACAAATACCGTGAGCCACGACTGGGGAAATCCCAGCGGGACACCATGTCTTACCAAATTGATGCCCCATGTCAATTCCACTTGCAGTCTGAGTCCTTTTTTACAATAATAAGACTTAAAACCTCACTAAAATTGAAGTTGGTTAGTTGTAACAGGTGTCATATACATCCTATGTTATTGTGACATTGGTTTATTTATATAACATTCTTACAGAAAATGTAAAATACACTTACTAATCACCAACACATGTCACGTGTTGTCATTCCACCAATCTATTTGAATGTGATCAGTTGTTGTAGGTAACATTTGGGAGTTAAAATTTACCTACAAATACAGGTTATATTGTGATATCTTCGTAAATAACAGCACAGAAAATGTTCAGATGCACACGTGGCACACGTATACCTTGTGGCCCTTTGCACTTGAACTTAGGATATCATTTACTAATGTGTTCATCTGTGGAAACAGCAAGATATTTAATGGTATTTGTAGGTAACGTGATTTTTTTTACCAAATCAGACTTTGATTTTCTAACATTTTTTTAGATTATTACTTTGTCAGAAATATGATGTAACGCCATTGCATTTGAGTACTTTACATATTAATGCTGTAAAAAGTAATACAAAACATAACCTTGTGATGCATTTACATAAATTGACAGTGTCATTGAAAACTGTATTCGTAGGTAACGCAAAAAATACCACTTGAAAACAAATTACCAAAATTACAAATTAAGCCCTAGACAAAATCATTTCCGGGGATTTATTCACGAAATATTTGGCAATCAGATTAATAAACTTCTGTTCATCCAGTTTGACTAGTATTTAACACACAACATGTTTTCAACAAAACATTTGTAAAATATAAGTCAAAATGAATAAAAAAATGACCTGTTTTTGTCTCCCATAAGCCTAATTTTTAATTTAAAATAGTCATCTTATATATGGCCTGAATCGTCTCACTTGTTCCGATGTGATGGGCACCCTGAAATATGTGAAGAGAGTAATGCTAAATTGTTATGGGCCCAAACATGCTGTGTACACTTTTCGTTGGAATCGACCATATGTGGCCACCATCTGGTCATACAACAACGGATTCGTGGGTTCTTTTAAGTGCACAGGGTTGTGTACTGTACACTAGGGGTAGTGACAACACTGACAAAGTTGACTCCAAGAATTTTACACCCGGTCACATGTGGGCTCGATCCCGGCACTTTAAGCCTGCTGGAGGTGAGGTGAGGTGAAATTGGTTTAACGTCGTGCTTGAGAATATTTCGCTCATATGACGACGTGCATGCGTGTGTATGTGTATGTGCAGCTGCTTGTACTAGCCCAGACCTAAGCTGGTTTTATAGTGCTAGCCCACTGAGATACCATACCGCAGTGAAGCATGAATACCCCACTCAGACACATTATACTGACTCCGAGCGGACCAGTCCTTGTTGTACCCATTAATGCCGAGCGCCAGGCAGGGACCAACAAGTACCATATTTTAACGTCTTTTGGTATGACCCGGTCGGGGATCGAACTCGCGACCTTCTGATCTCCGGGCGGACGCTCTAACCACTACATCCCACGGAGGCAGCTTCAGCCTGCTGGATCCATAGCCTGCCACCTTAGATGACTTGCCCTATACAGGTTAGTAGGTATACAGTTTACAGAGAATCGCCACAGGCGACTGTAAATTAAAGACATCAAAATTTGTATAAATAATCCCCATTATATCATTTCCATAATAACACAACAACGAATTTAAATACATAGAGTTCTCACTCTGACATGGTTGTAGTGTGACTTGTGGGTGGCGTGGACATCAGCTTCCTCCTGGGTCTCGAAGAACCTCTTACACAGGGTACAGAACATGCCTTCAACATGGACTACACTGCTCTGGGCTGCAAGACAACATGGTGTCTATAAGGGCTGTAACGCTGCATCGAACTATCGATGGATGGCAATTGTTGAGTGTCCGATAGCAATACTCACCATACACAACACTTACCATATACAACACTCACCATAGACAACACTCACCATACACAACACTCACCATAAACAACACTCACCATACACAACACTTACCATACACAACACTCACCACTCACCATACACAACACACTCACCATACACAACACTCACCACCATAGACAACACTCACCATACAACACTCACCACACACTCACCATACACTCAACACTCACCATACACAACACTCACCACTCACCATACACAACACTCACCATACACAACACTCACCATAGACAACACTCACCATAGACAACACTCACCATACACACACACTCACCTCACACAACACTCACCATACACACAACACTCACCATACACAACACTCACCATATTTTTAAAAGCACCATACACAGGGCAAGTGACTTTACACAAAGTAACTTGTCCTGACTAATTTTTCACATGCACTGATTTTATGACATAATTATGATGATGTAATTATGAAAGAAGAAATCAACATGGTATTTGATGTTAATGTTTACTGGACTATTCATTGAAAAGTGATACATAGCAAAGAAAGATAACTCTACTTTATTATCATTGTGAAATTTAATAGCTACATTTTGAGCAGATATGAAATTGAATCAAAGTTTTTTTGCAGTTTGAAACCATATGTGGAAATTATCTAGTAGCCCACGGACAAGTAAGATACCATTATTTGATTGCCCGAAATGAAAACTGACTTGTCCCGGGCGTCGTGCGAAGGGATTTACGAACCCCTGACCATATGCAACACTCACCATATACAACACTCACCATACCCAACACTCACCATACACAACACTCACCATCATACAACACTCACCACCATACACTCACCATACACAACACTCACCATATGCAACACTCACCATACACAACACTCACCATATCCAACACTCACCATATGCAACACTCACCATACCCAACACTCACCATATGCAACACTCACCATACACAACACTCACCATACCAACACTCACCATACCCAACACTCACCAAATCATCCAACACTCACCATACACAACACTCACCATATGCAACACTCACCATACACAACACTCACCATACACAACACTCACCATACCCAACACTCACCATATGCAACACTCACCATATGCAACACTCACCATATGCAACACTCACCATACGCAACACTCACCATATACAACACTCACCATATACACAACACTCACCATACACAACACTCACCATACACAACACTCACCATATCCAACACTCACCATATCCAACACTCACCATATACACAACACTCACCACACACAACACTCACCATACACAACACTCACCATATCCAACACTCACCATCTACAACACTCACCATCTACAACACTCACCATACACAACACTCACCATATGCAACACTCACCATATACAACACTCACCATATGCAACACCATCTTTGTGAGGAGGAAAGTCCTTCTGGAATGAAAACCATTGACAATATTGATGTCCTCACTTAAACTATGAATCATTCATCCTACACATCTAAGTGTATTGTCTCTGAATAGTGGGAGTGAGTGTTATAGTACTACAACCTCAGGACACTGAAGATTACTCTGGACTCGTCACTACAGGTAACTCTAAGTATACTGGCCATTAGCACGTTGATTGATGTAAGTCTGTGCTACAGTACGGAGTTATGATAGTCTTAGCAGTAAGACCGCATTGTGGAACAGAGACCTGGAAGTAATTGAGTACGAGTCAAAACAAACCAGTGGTTGACAAGATGAGCAATGGGCCACACTGTCGGAGTAAATAGATCATCCCGACTCCATTTGAAACAGCAGTCATCAAAAGATGACAAATTCCCCCGGCAGCCACAAATTTGAAAGAATAAATCATCTGAGTTACTTAAAGTCCAACTTGATTTTTTGGGATGAAGTCCAAATCGTTTCCATGGAAATCATGAAAAGTATAAATGCCCAAAATCTGCAAATAGCAAAAGGCACCACTTTAGGTTCTGTTTGATATATCTGCCAAGTTTTGTTGAAAGATATTGAACCGTTTTCGAGTTATGCTCTGGAAATGAAGCTCACCCCTCATCTTTGAGACCAAGTCCAAAACGTTACCATGGAAACCAAGAAAAATAAAAATGACAAAAATCTGTAAACAGCAAAAGGCACCACCTTAGGTTCTGTTTGATACATCTGTCATTTTTTTATGAAAAATATTGAACGGTTTTTCAGTTGTGCTCTGGAAACAAAACGATTACGGACGGACGAGGCGTCGACTATATCCCCCCCGGGTTCCATGCTGGGGGGATAAAAAAGGATCTCAGTGCTACAATTACCATAAGCCTATGTTAGAGTATGGGAGTTATGATAACTTTACCGCTAAAACCCTGTTGTCCAAGCCTACAAGTGTCCTACAAGCCTTTCCTGCTGGGAGAACCCGAAGTCCAGCATTACGGGAATCACATATTATTAATACCAATAAATATATTCATAAACAAAATATAACTTTTAATTTGAATGTTGGCTAGGGGATTCAGATCCTCAAATATCAGTTCAATATTTACAGGCATTTATTTTTGAGAAAAATATTCTAAATTCTGTATCTAATGGTCTAATCTCTTACCCCCAACAATAACCAAAATGTCTCTATTTCTCTCTCCAACAAATGCTTATGGATGTTAATGTGAAATACAAAAGGGAATCTCTCTTCTACTGGTAGCTGCTGTTTTCACTCTACTTTACTCTTTTTCTTCTTTCATCATCCATTTGTACATTCTATTCCATATTATTTCTCTGCATTTCATTTTGAATTTTTGTTGTAGGATGCCTATGTCTTAAACTGTTATGGTCACCCTACCCTAGTGCCTACCTCAAACGTCCAGTAACTTGTGGCTCTATGCTTTTTAGGCCAGACTAATTTTATTTCTTGTTTTAACGGATCCGCCGGTCATATTTTTGCAAGAATAAGAAAAAAAAAAAAATATTATTTTCCAGACGGCATTGTATTTATATACTTATGCTATCTCACGTGATGGATGCAAGTCATGAGATAGGATAAGTTAAACAATTTACAGTCTACCCACCAGCTGAGTGCATCTCTCTATCAGATCATCACTCTTCCTTCTCTCCACCTCAGCTTTCTGGAACACCAGACACATTTAGCTCACAAAATGAAGGTGAACAGTGGACTCTCAAATTGTAAGCAGAGTTAACTATTAGACTTCAACATGTATATTCTTTTTAAGTAAATGTGTATTGCTTGAAAGGATAAAAGATGTTAAAATCCTTTAAACTTTTAATCCAAATCCTTTAACAAATGCTGTGTCATTGCCAATGACCCAAAAATAGGATTACAGCAGTTGCATGACAATAGGCAAAAATATATGAACATGGTAAGTATGAACATTTTAAAAAAAGATTATTCACATCTCTCTTGAACCCATTTCCTAAAACTAACTCAGTGTGCGAAATAGTTTCCAAATTGTGCTCGCCAGTCGGACTAGCTATGCCTGAATGTTACTAGCCCACAAAATGATTCACTGGCCCGAAATTTGAATGTAGAAACTAAGCAAAAGATTACAAAAAGATAAAATACCATCAAAAACAAATGGCCTCATGAAAATTCACTAAGCCAGTCACTCTGGAGATTTACTGGCTCGACTTGAATTTTACTAGCCATGGGCTAACAGGCCAGTGGCTATTTCGCACACTGCTACCTAACAACACGTCCAACAATTTCACAAAAAATACTAGTACACAAACATACAAAATTGTATTGAAGATTACAACTGAAATGGCTCCTTTCGGTGTAAACTCGAATGAAGGGAGATAACCCAGTAGTCATATTAAGAATAGACCTCTAGAAAATAAACTTTACACTTACAAATGAAGGGTCTAGAATATTGGTGCAACAATTGATTTGATCACACTATTTAACAATCTGATTAATGAGCATGTTGAGATGTGTAGCGCCTACCTCTATGTGGGTGTCAATCTTACAGTGAGCCTTGTACTCGGAGAAACTGTTAAAGGGCTTGGTCTTGCATATTAAACACCCAAGCTTGATTGTGTTACAGCGAATCTGAAATAAAACATAACAATATTTACTTATAGATGGTGTCATCAACTTCTTGGGTATATGCCAGTCCGACAAATGTTAAATAAAGGTTTGATAAAAATTGACAAAGGACGCAACGAAATTTATTAGCACATCCACGAGGACGCAGAAAAAAACCAATACTTTTTGTAAAAATTTCAATCAAGTAACAATAACTTATCACTGAGTCTGCTACTAGCCGGGTTATGGTATCATTTGCAATTTAATTACTGTAACAATGTGATGAACATGATACACAATACAATAACAGTAACTGAATTACAACAATATTACAACATAGTATTAATAATAATATTTAAGTGTCTGGGACCCCCATTTTGTAGTCCAGGACCCCTGAAAATTAAGAGTATGAGTCCCAGGGACCCCCAAATACAGGACTCAAGGTAAACCTCTGCAACTATTTGGAAGAAAGGTGAAGAATGAACCAGACTGATCTGACAACGATGGGATATGATGAACATCATTTCACCTTATGAAGTTCCAAATTCTTATGGTCTGAGTAAGGAATGTGTAGATCAAGGTCGCAGATTGAGCAGAACCTGAAACGAAAGATGAACATACTAAACTTTTCAACTATCTAAATCTTTAACATATGGAATTCAAATCATAGGGTCCATGCGACCTTTTCGGCATTAAGCATCTGGTCAATGTAAGAACGATTTAAGTCTCATGAAGTCATTAATTATAGATGGGCATGTGGTTGATAGCAAAAGCATTGGTCAGAATCACCTGGGTAAGCCAGGACACACACTTGATTCTCATGAAAATAGTGGGTACAGAATCCCTCCAGGGCCAAAATCATGGGAGATTGTGAGTAACTCTGTTGAGTGAGTGAGTGAGTTTAGTTTTACTTCACTTTTAGCAATATTCCAGCAGTATCACGGCGGGGACACCAGAAATGGGCTTCACACATTGTACCCATGTGGGAAATCAAACCCGGGTCTTTGACGTGACGAGCGAACGCTTTAATCACTAGGCTACCTTACCACCCCCAACTCTGTTGAGAATCCCCACAGGGTCAGAAACATGTTACTACACATACACATATTACCCTGACAAGGATGTGACCCGTGAAGATCCAGGTTAGAATTGGCTTGTCATAAGAGGTGACTAACAGTGTCGAGTGGTCAGGCTCGCTGACTTGGTTGACACATTTCATTGTATCCCAATTGCATAGATCGATGCTCATGATGTTGATCACTGGACTGTCTGATCCAACTCGATTATTTACAGACTGCCACTATATAGCTGAAATATTGCTGAATGCGGCGTTATACATCAAACCAATCAAACAACGACAAGGATGTGGGACTGTGTGAAGCGTATTCTGTCCTCATGTGTTTGTTCGGACATGACCAAACCTACATTAGAGACTTTTGGTCTTTGTGCTGTTGAAAGATCTTGGCAATAGTGTCCTTGACCTGCTTGGCGATGTATGGCGGCATCTCCTCGACGCGGGCCATCTGGTTGGAGTGTGTGCGGGACTTGTGATGGTTCAGGAAGTCCTGGAGGGATGATGAAGATATCAGGGCAAGTCAGTTGTGGTGGATCAGTATTGACAACATAAATGATTCATCATGCAAAACTCGTTGAGGGAGAGAACACAACCCAACTTGTCCCGTTATGGCTCAGCATTGTGCTTTTTCTCACCATATTGTGTTATATCTCACCACATTGTGTTATATCTCACCACATTGTGTTATATTTCACAAGTGTTATACTTGTGTGGAAGCTCATACCATTGTGTTATACCTCATCACATTGTGTCATCTTTCACCACAGTGTGATATATATCTCACACCATTGTGTCATATATGACCACATTGTATTATATCTCATCACATTGTGTAATATCTCACAACATTGTGTTATAATTCACCACATTCATTGTTATATCTCATCACATTGAGTTATATCTCACCACATTGTTACATCTCATCCTGTGTTATATCTCTCACCACATTGTGTTATATCTCACAGCACTGCATTGTTAATATCTCATCACATTGTGTAATATCTCAGCCAAAGCTCACCACATTGTGTTATATCTCACCACATGTTGTAATATCTCATTGTGTAATATCTCATCACATTGCATTATATCTGTGTTATATCTCACCACATTGTGTTATATCTCATCACATTGTGTTATATAACATCACATTGTGTATATATCTCACCACATGTGTTATATCTCATCTCATCTCACCACATTGTGTTATATCTCACCACAATGCATTGTGTAATATCATCATCACACAGCCAATATCTCACCACATTCACCACATTGTGTGTAATATCTCACCACATGTTATATCTCACCACACTGTGTAATATCTCATCACTGTGTGTTATATCTCACCACCACATTGTGTTATATCTCACCACATTGTGTAATATCTCACCACATTGTATTATATCTCACCACACTGTGTTGCATCTCATCCTGTGTTATATCGCACCACATTGTGTTATATCTCACCACATTGTGTAATATCTCACCACACTGCATTATATCTCATCACAAGCCAAAACTCACTACATTGTTTAATATCTCAATACATTGCACCATATCACATCACATGTTGAAGCTCACCACATTGTGTTGTATCTCATCATGTGTTGAAGATCATCACATTGTGTTGTGTCTCATCATGTGTTGAAGATCATCACATTGTGTTGTATCTCATCACATGTTGAAGATCATCATATTGTGTTATGTCTCACCACATTGTGTTATATCACATCACATTGTGTTATATCTCATCAGATTATGTTATATCTCACCACATTGTGTTATCCATAACCCGTGGTATACATCTCCATGTGTCATCTCATCACATTGTGTTATATCTCACCACAATGCATTATATCTCATCACAAGCCAAAGCTCACCACATTGTGTTACATCTCACCACATGTTGAAGCACTTCACATTGTATTATATCTTACCACATTGTGTTATATCTCACCACAGTTATATTTCACCACACTGCATTATATCTCACCACATTGTGTTATGTCTCACCACACTGTTATATCTCACAACAATGCATTATATCTCATCACATTGTGTTATATCTCACCAAATTGTGCTATATCTCACCATGTTGTTCCTGGCCAGGTAGCTGCAGGCAGGGCAGTAGAGAGACAGGGTGTCCGGGTTGGTGGGCTGTGCACAAACAAAACATGGATCGGTAGTAGTACCAGGATCTGTCAAGGCATGGTGGCCTGCTACCACATCTGGGCCAACTACACAGGTTGTATACAGAAGGAGAGTTTGGTTCAAAGCCACTTTGTACACAATACAGTATTGGTTCACATGTTACTTAATGCCAAATTATTGGAGTAGACTGAACTGAGCAACTGCTTTTAGCAATACCCCAGCTACACCACACTTGACACCAGAAATGGGCTTCACACATTGTACCCAAAAACATTTCTACCCCACCCCAATTGAAATTAGAAGTGAGGGAGGTAGATGATGAATTTAAGGGGGTCACACATTTTGTTCTGGGAGGTGGGAGAAAGGGTCATCAATTTTGTACATATACTTCGGAGGTCAGCAATTTTGTACATAAAAAATTATGCTTAAAAGGGGGGGGCATTGTTTTTGTACATGACATGCAGGGGGGTCACATATTTTGTACTTAAATTTTAGAGGGGGTCAGTCACAATGTACATGTCCACCTGTGACCGGGTGTAAAAACCTTGGAGTCAACTTTGTGTGAAGACTCTTTCAGTGTTATCACAACCCCTAGTGTACAGTACACAACCCTGTGCACTTATAAGAACCCACGAATCTGTTGGTATATGACCATGAATACGTGCAAACACCAAGTTGCGGGTAGAGCAACGTGCTGTAAAACTTGGACAAAGTACTGAGACTATGTGTCCCAGTCCTGGCAATATGATGTGCCACTGAGACTGAGATCCAATGGTCGAGGGAAAAACAAAGAAGGTCTTTGATCACGAATGTGGGATGGACTATAGCGCTGGATAAATACCAATATCACAATAATAATAAAATACATGCTTCTCCCTAAAAACCAACACCCTACCTCCCCCTAGCCATACATTATGAACGGTCCCTAGGTCCACTCTTTCAAGTATTATAAGAAAAATTCCAATCTTTTACCCATGCCAATAAGCATTGCATTCATGTAGAACCCTGGGCATGCTGAAACTACTTTCCGTGATTATAAAACAGTATCCTTACCATATTCTTCTTCATGGCCTCCAGATAGAGGTTACCTGCAATACAGCGTGAAGAAAGATAAAACAAAATAATGTTATGCAATTATTGAAGATAAGGAAGGTTAATATATTTTAGCATCATATATTTCAACTTGAAGCATTATGAGGACTGACACGATTGAGTGAGTATAGTTTTATGCCGCTTTTAGCAATATTCCAGCAATATAACAGCAGGGGATAACATAAATGGGCTTCACACATTGTGCCTAAGCAGGGAATCGAACCCGCGTCTTTAGCGTGACGAGCAAACACTTTAACTAGGCTACACAACTACACTTAATATTACTCCTACATAGCGATCATGGTAAAAAGATACCACAACTTGAACATCAACATAAAAATATCTGGTATCATTTTGGGATCTTGAATCATATTCAAAGTTAATCAAATTTAAAACAGCAAGTTTTTCATTTGTTTTCTCAACTTCCAACTAAACAGCATAATTTCAATAACATTTTTGCTTTCATTGCTGGAGAGGTAACAACATTAATATCGGTAGTCATCATTAAGTCATTGTAAGGAGGCAGCAATGGTAAGGATTGAGAAAGCTGGATTGAAGATGTTGGGAGAGCTGAATATATGGATTTTCTTTAATGACATATCATGCCTTTACTCTGAAATATATTTTTAAGCTTAAATCGGTGCAAGCTCAAAGGCAGTGTTGAAAGTAATTACATTGTAAGACTGTAATGAAGCTCAAAAGGTGTTGCAATAACGAGAATAGGAATCCGACAACATTGTTTTCCTTTTAATATGTTTACAAGTAAATCAATGACGGATCAGCTAGTAATGAATCATTTTCCATTACCATGGTAACCTCAACTAAATATATTTTCGTGAAAATGACTTTGATGAAAAATATTCACATCAACATGTTCTGTGTTCAAATGTACAAATTTACTGTTGAACTGTGTTCCAACACGTTACCATGGTTACAATTTGGAACATTTTCTCTAAGCTGAATCAAACACTGTACAGTTGGCCACAGTCCTGCGACCATATTTGGTAGTTCATTGTTTCACCATGGCCTGATCCAGGCCAACCAATGGCTAGAACCGTCCGTCTGCCTCATTACCACGTCTGGGACGTGACAATGACTATATGTTAATGTCTCTATGTTGGAGGGCTGCTTTGTTTGTAGGTACATTCAATCATCTTACACTGTTTGAGGTCGGCCTGCAACAAACAGAACATACACTTCACTAGGTTGCCATGGATACACTGTTTGGAAGGGTTGTGGTGATGGACGTTGGCAACAACTTACCCAAGCCTGGCACCTATATCTATCAGTAAATCTTGAAAACTATCCAGCAGTGGGCCTCACAGTCAAATCATCAAAAGCTTCATATTTTCAATTAGTAAATAAAATTAATTAAATCATGATTGGACTTAAATTAAACCAACTTGTGGAATCTCACTATCAAATTTTGTAAAACTGAAAATACTAAATTGGAGGACTTAAATCTGACAGTCAAATCTTGAAAAGAATGAAATGATTAAGTCGTGGAGAAACATTTGAAAGTCAGATCTGGAAAAACCTGGAAAATGATCCTGTGAAAAATGTCAGTCAAACGAAGGTTTGAAACATGAAAATTCTGTGCCAGAGCATGTATAGCATAGGAACTTTCCCATTTTAACATTAATACCAAGGACAGCTCATTTTTAAACAATGCATATGCATTCCACATAGTAATTATCTTCTTGCTGAGTGAGAGTGAGTTTAGTTTTACGAAAGCACTCAGCAATATTCCAGCTATATGGCGATGGTCTGTAAATAATCAAGTCTGGACCAGACATTCCAGTGATCAGCATCATGAGCATCGATCTACACAATTGGGATGTGATGACATGTGTCAACCAAATCAGCCAGCCTGACCACCTGATCCGTTAAGTTAGCCTCTTCCAACAAGTATGGGGTACTGAAGATCAATTCTAACCCGGATCTTCACAGATCATCTTCTTGCTGATCATGCTGATCATGTTTAGAAACAAATGCACATGTCCTATTGCATAGTTACAGAAATACAGAACCAAATTAACCTAAATACCTACATTGCCACATGTCCAGGGTAAAGTTCTAATTGACTTAATACTTTGTGTTTTCTAAAGTTTTAATCATAATGTTTACTAAATTTATTTTAGTCAGATAGGTGGTGTACAACTAACAGAGGGCAAGTGACCTTGGAATTGTTCAGTTACAACACAGGATGTGAGAGTGAGTGAGTGAATTGGGTTTTATGCCCCTTTTAGCAATATTCCAGCAATATCATGGGAGGGGACATCAGAAATAAGCTTCACACATTGTACCCATGTGGGGAATCAAACCTGGGCCCTCGGCATGACGAGCAAACACTTTAACCACACGGCTACCCCTCCGCCTCCCACAGGATGTGAGAAGGAAAGTAACAAAGTCACCTGGGGTGGAACATCATTGTCTGACTCACTATGTCAGATTGACCAACAACCACACAAAATCAAATTTAGTAGCTCTTTGGTGTCAAATTAATAAGCTGCCTCTGAACAACCTTCATGAAAATTTAGTAGGCATGAATATTTACAATTTTTATTTGTCTATGTCCTTTTCAAAAGCGAGATATGTGATATGTACTAGCCTTCTAGTATTAATGTTAGTTTATCATAACTATAAATTACATACAAAATTTGACAAGATCAGTTCTACAAAATAAACTGTCAACATTGTAAATCATTATGATGAATAATTAATAATAATAATAATTGTAGAGACCAAAAGATATTCTGCGCTATGAAGAGAAAAGACTAGACAACTAGTTTGATCAGAGTATTCGTTACCTAATATTAGGTGAATATAGCCTCATAGTGTATACAGTAACACTACCATATTAGAGTAAGTTGATCAGAGTATAGAGTAACATACCATGAGTGAGTGAGTGAGGTTTTACACCACTTTTAAGTTTGAGCAATATTCCAGCAATATCACGGCAGGGACACCAGAAATGCCATACCATAAGATGTCATGGAAGGTTACACTATCTGCTAAAATCATAGAGGTTTCTTTCAAATATGGCCTAGAAATGGGTGACTTTGGTATTCATGGTGGGAATAGCCAGTAAAAGACTTTGTGATATAAACACCATCAATAATCTATACCACTAGTCATTAACATGTCAGAGAAGAGAAAAGTGTCTGATCGGTCAGGTCTTACAAAACTGAAGACCCATAGGCTAAAGCTTAGTCTCTGAATATTATATAATTTTGATTATAACAAATAAACCCATTTATATTGAAAAGGAGCCCCAGGGAAACCAGAGATTGGTTCATTTAGGGCGTTTGCATTGCAGAGAGGGCTATGATGTATGGGAAAATAAGGTGGTTCAGGGACTGTGAGACAGAGTATGAAGACCCCATACACAAATCACTCCTGTCCTGCGTTAGGAACACAGAAGGGGCTTATTGTCCAAGTCTCATGAGAAACTTGTCTCCAGTCCCAAGCCCAACGCTATGGAGGTTGTGTTTTTAGCTAATAAATGGAACTACTGCACGAATGTGAGATATTGTGTTATAAAGTTGTAATAATATATGATTTGGGTTGAACAGTAATACGTATTGTAGCAGTCTCTGTTCCCCGACATTCGACTTGGTAGAACATAACATTTTGTTATTCCTCACTGTCCATGACTAGTATTGTTCACAGTGAGTGAGTGAGTGAGTTTGGTTTTACGCCACTTTAAGAAATATTCCAGCAACATCACAGTGGGGGACACCAGAAATGGGCTTCACACATGTACCCATGTAGGGAATCAAACCCAGACCTTCGGCATGACGAGCAAACGCTTTAACCACTAGGATACTAGTGCTGGGAATCGGTTGAAATCTCACAATTGATGATTGGTTTATTACCATGAGCAATCATCGAAAAAAATTGGTTAGCGTCATTTTTAAGATTTTCCTGTTCAGGTTGTGATTGCAGATAAGTATAAGATAGCCCTCTGTTGCTTTTTTTTCCCTTAGATATTGCGCAAATGGCATTTGCGACTTTCACATCCAAAGTAAAATGATGCAACTTGCTACTTTAAAGTGATGACTAATATTACGTTAACATATAAACCTCCCAGAGAAATAATCAGTTATGACTTTTCAGTAAATGAAGTGACGTTTCTAAGAATTAAACCTGCTTTAAGGCCCTGACAACTTTTAAGATATGATCCACCTTCAAGTAGGTCCAAAATCGTTTGTGTTCGGTTATGAGAAAATGTGAGCGATGGGTCAGAGCTTAATCTTCAATCTTCGATTATTTCAATTAATCGACCACCACTATAGGTTACTGATGAGTAACCGATCCTAAATATTTTTGTAAAAAATGGTAAACTGATGAATGAATGTTATTTAATGCCACAGTCAGTAATGTTCCAGCAATGGCACTTCACCATAAGAAGGAAAAGGTCCAGTCAAATCAGTGGCTGACTTGAGCAATGTACCATGCAGTCAGGACTTACTGACACAATCAACCGATGACACCAATGTCACAATCAACCATGATGACACAATCAACCGATGACACCGATGGCACAATCAACAGCAATGACACAATCAACCGATGACACCGATGGCACAATCAACCAAGATGACACAATCAACTGATGACACCGACGACACAATCAACCGCAATGACAATATCAACCGATGACACCGATGGCACAATCAACCAAGATGACACAATCAACCAAGATGACACAATCAACCAGTGACACAAATGACACAATCAACCAATAACACTATCAAACGATGACACAATCAACTGATGACACAATCAACTGATGACACCGATGGCACAATCAACCGCAATGACAATATCAACCGATGACACAATCAACCAAGATGACACAATCAACCAGTGACACAAATGACACAATCAACCAATAACACTATCAACCGATGACACAATCAACCGATGACACCGATGGAACAATCAACCGCAGTGACAATATCAACCGATGACACCGATGGCACAATTAACCAAGATGACACAATCAACCAATGACACAATCAACCAATAACACTATCAACCGATGACACAATCAACCGATGACACAGATGGCACAATCAACCAATAACACTATCAACCGATGACTCAATCAACCGATGACACAAATGACACAATCAATCAATAACACTATCAACCGATGACACAATCAACACTGCATGCCTGATACACAACTTACCTAAACTAATTAGCCTAAACTAATATGACCATCAAATAATCAATTTGGGGCCACGCAATGAACCAAGTCATACAGCATAAACATCTGATTCATGTGGTCGTCTCTTACGATTAGCATTCAGTCAGGGGATCTATCCTGACAGTTAACCTACATATAGTGACAAGTCAGAGAGCTGGGAACCTTTTTAAACCTGGTTCAAACATCTTGTGACAAATAATTTCTCACTTGTGACCTATTACCAGAATAAAATATTTTCCTTTAACCTTTTCACTTTGTTTACACAAAGTATCTGACTACCGCATGTGTAATCACAGAAGCTGCTCTTACCCTTCCTCCATGACCATCTTTTCTGTAGGGGTAGTCATCTCCCCTTGGTCCCATCGGTCGTCCTCCCATTCCGTTGCCATAGTGACCCATTCCCCTGCTCCCCCTATGTGCCCCAAGTGGTCCTACTCTAGGACCTCCTCTGGGTCTTCCTCTGTAATTCATCACTGCCCGAGGTCCTCTGGCCTGTAAAAACAGTATCGTTTCAGAAATAAGCACATGCTTGCAAACCCATACCTGGTTTCCTAACGTTAAAAGTCCAGACCCGATTATTCACATACCGCCGTCATATAGTTGGAAAATTGCTGAGTGCAGTGTAAAAGTAAACTCACTCACTAATGTTAAAGGTATCTGAAGGGAGGGTAGGATTTTAAGTGTGTGAGTGAGTGAGTGAGTGTGTTGAGTTTTACGCCACTTTTAGCAATATTCCAGCAATTATTACGGTGGGGGACACCGGAAGTGGGCTTCACACATTGTCCCCATGAGGGGAATCGAACCTGGGTCCTCGGCGTGACGAGCGAACGCTTTAACCACTAGGCTAGCCCCGATTTTAAACATTCTGGGGGTATTGCTACCTGTTATCACTATCTGGACAAAAGACATATTTTATAAATATCTACTGCACTCAAATGTATGCAAACTGGGTGGAAAGAAGTAAGAGATAGCATATACGCAGCTAAAGACTCACCATGCTACGTGGCCCTATGCCCCTTCCGACGACTCTCATAGGTCCTGGGCCCATCCCTTCACTGTAGTAAGGATCTTCAAAGACAGAGTTGTCATAGGTCTCATACTCATAGCTGTAGGGTTCCTCGTATACCTCCTCATACTCGTAGTCATAGCCACCAGACTGTCCCATTCCTACGTTGCTTACACGATCGGTAAGTTTATCAATGACATCACTCTGTTTCCTGAGGAGCTCCACAAACGTAGCCTGTCGATTTGATGAAGGGCCATCTTCATACCGAGCATCATACTGTGTGTCCTTGTGCTGATGATTTTCATATTGACCGTCATACTGATGATCATCATACTGTATGTCCCTGTATTGAGGACTTCCATCCTGACTATCATCATACTGTGTGTCCCTGTACTGAGGTCTTCCATACTGACTATCATCATACTGAGAGTCGCCGTACTGACGTTTTTCAAACTGATCATCTCGATAGAAGTTGCGCCTCATCTGGACAATAAGACTGAAATATATTTGGTCATTAAATAATAATGGAAGATCAAAGACTGTGTCACGATTCAGTGTAATCACATGGAGATATTCAAATTTAAATTTATTGTAAAACAATATGTTTCAAAAATTCCATGCTGCCAACCAATGAAGATCCAAATTGATTTTCAGCAACCCATACTGGGGGCAACTAACGGAATCAAGTGGTCAGGTTCTCTGGTTGATGCCTGTAATACCCCAGTTGCATAGGTCAGTGTTCATGTCATAAATCACTGGATTGTCTGGTCCAGACCTGATTATTTACAGATTGCTATCATACAGCTGGAAACTTGCTGAAAGCAACGTTACACAACAAATAAACTTGCATGTTAACATTGATCCATATATTGATGAGTAGATTTTGTGAGTAACTGAGAAAAATAGAGTGTGAATAAATATAGTGCATTTATCATGCGCATTGCTTATGCCCGTACAGGTAGCTATGTCGATCAAATAGTTCCATATCAGATGACAACACGAATGTCAGAAATCCACAATATAGACAGGTTGGGGAAACCTACCAATCGGCCTATAATAGGCCAAACAGGATATAATAGGCCGTTCCACCTATTTTGCTATAGGCCGATTGGCCTTTAATTATATGATATTTATCAAATAAATTTAAAGTGGTGCATTTCCGCATGAGGATAATTTAACATCATTCAAGTTTTGATGTCCTGAGGTTTTCATTCAAACCCTTTTTGAGCATTTTCATCACATAATAAAGGAGTTTGGAAATTGCTAATTAAACATAAGTCTATAATATTTTTGACATTTTTCACTGAAAATTAATGACATAGATATTCAGTTTTAGTTTTCAAAATGAAAATCTGTGCAAAATTGTGTTCTGAAATGAAACATCTTTTCCTGAACTTTATATAAATTTTCATTTTGTCCAAAAACTTGTTTTTTTTCAAGCTGAGGTCCATTAACTATTCATTTCTATGATCATATAACACCATTTCGTGAGGAAATTGATAGTTTGTGAAATAATAATAATAATGGTCAAATATAGCCCGATCGGCCTATAGCAAAATAGGCAGAACGGCCTATAATATCCCGTTCGGCCTTTTATAAGCCGATCGGTAGGTTTCCCCAACCTGATAGACAGAGGACTCCATGCAGCATTTCTCGACATCGATGTCTATAGGAGCAACGACAAGGCCTGTGCGATGCAGCCTTGTCGGCAATCTAGATTTAGATGATGCGCTCTCAGTATCCCTATCCAAATACGTGCACTTTCTAACCAGAATATTATATCACAGAAACAAAAATATTACAAAGTATACTCAGACTGCATACATTGACACTCATCTCTCGCACTGTGCACACGCTTTCTCAGTTGCCGTTTGCACACAACCGACGGTTATTCGCTAAAACCGCACCGCGTCAAAACGACAATTTAACTTTGTAAAACAGCCCTGCCAAGGCACAGTAGAGATCGAGGGAGGGACAGTTTCGAATGTGATCAAGTGAGTGAGTTTAATTTTACGCCCCATTCATCAATATTCCAGCCGTGTGGCGGCGGTCTGGAAATAATCAAGTCTGGGCTAGAAAATCCAGTGATCAATAGCATGAACATCTATCTACCCAATTGGGATACGATGACATACACGTCAACCGAGTCAGCGAGCCTGACAACCCGATCCTGTTAGTCGCCTCTTACGACAAGCATTGGTTACTGAAGATCAATTCTAACACGGATCTTCACGAGTTCAAGATCAAGAAGACCTTTATAATTAATAGTCCAGTGGCCATTCTTCAAAAAGGCCTATAAAAATAGGGAGCAACCCCAACCGATGGTATAACAAGACACAACCTATATTTTCTTGTACATATATGTGTATTCTTCAAGAAAAATATGGTTGTGGTCATATGAAATTGGTATGTAATATATATAATGCTCTGTTTCCATGGTTACAAGAGCAAAAAATATGTTTCGGACGGGAGGTTCACTTAACCACCCACTACAAACATTATTTGATGGGGTACAACTCTCATCTTTTTTTTACAATGATCTGTAATGTTCGTCAATTCTTTCAGTATTAAACATTAACTCTATTGAAGCCACCGATGGACACAATGAATTATTTAATGCATGAGTTAGTGCAGAAAAAAAATGTGATAGTTTTCATTTATCATAAATAATTTTCAGAATGACACAGAAAGCCCTGTTTACACACATATGATAGCACATGTAGAGGGCATTAATTTATTTGAAGGTATGTTACCATTACCAACTGTGACTAGGTCAACAACCATTCTCAAAAAACACTGTCCATTCATAAAGTTTCACCCAAGATTTTATGGGCGCTTCATTATTACTAAATTTGGCAGTGTTTGTTGAGAGTGATTTCCCCTTCTGCTATCCAATATGGAGTATTAGTGACTGCTCTGTCTGTGATGACATAGATATTGAACACAGTGAAGTTTCAGTGATCAATGTAAGTTGGACTATGATGCTCATTATTGTGTAAACAATATAAGGATGGATTTGGCACCACCTGCCAAAAGAATCCGCCCAGTCCCACCAGATATAGGACATTGTATTCTCTGTCATAGACAGCTTGGGGAAAAGGGAAAGAGGCATCAAATATTGTAAGAAAACCCACAGTAGATGGACTGCAAGCATTGTTTACAGCTTCTGAAGTACGTCTGGATGAAGTGTATCATCATCTATTGCCATTCAAAGATGATATTTTGACAGGGACTATTGAAGTTGCTTTTCACAAGTCTTGTCGAGCATTGTATACCAGCAAATCCAATTTGAAGCATGTACATGTAGACAACAGTCAAATATCTGACAACACACAGTCTGATGAATCCATATACAACAACACCTGCTTAAGCAGAAATGACGCATCATCATTTAACATCCGGCAACATTGCTTCATTTGTAGCAAAGGGTGGAAAAAGGGTGAGAAACTAACACAGATTGCCACAGGAACAGGGCAGAGTACACATGAAAAGGTATTGGCTGCCGCTATTGCTAGAAATGATGAAACGGTTATTCTACGTATGACAACCTATTCTGACTTGTTTGCCTTCGATGCAAAGTACCACCGTTCTTGTTATGCTGCATACATCTCAGAACGAAACATTACAGCAGCAAGGAGAAAGTTTGACCATGACAAGGGAGACTCAGAATATGACAAGGCCTTTAAGCAACTTGTGTCTAACATTCAAGAAACAATACTTTCCAGGAGTAAATCTGTAAAAACATTATCTCAAGTAAGGATGGAATTTGAAAAGAATTTGTCAAGTTTGGGAATGCATGTTGAGGTGTATTCATGGAAACTGAAAGAGAAATTAAGTCAATATTTTGGAGAAAAACTTGTTTTCATTGAACGCCATGGACGTTCAGACTTATTGGTCTCCAGTACAGTCTCTGTGGGTGATGCTCTACGAAAAGCATCTGAATTGGTAAGAACAGTATTTCATTGAAGATGCTGAAGATCTTTGTGATCTTACACCAACATCTGGACTATCTGAGATTGATGAAAAGACAGATCTTTCATTCTGCAGCCAAGATATTGAGATACCAGATGTCAAGCATTTGTGACTCAAATTTGTATTATGAACCATGTAATTAACTAAATATGTTGACATGTGCCAAATTTGTTCCTAATTCTACTGTATGATTTTGTAATGTGGGTTACCAACGAAAAAATCATACAAACACATTTCAGATTGTGGTGATGCAAATGTTTCAAAGAATGATCTTGCAACACTTGCAATTTGTCATGACATCATCTCTAAATCTAGGCATGTAAGAACCCCATGACTTTGGGTATTGGTGTGTACGTACATCATGAATTTGGGAGTAAGCTGCTCATAGATAAACTCCATTCACTGGGTCACTGTGTATCCTATGATGAAGTTCGGCGATTTCTTACCTCGGTCGCCCTTGATCAACAGGATCAAACTATGTATGTGCCTAGAGGTCTCCAGTTGTCAAGGATCATAACCTTCAAATCGATGCAGCAATTGATAACTTTGATCAAAATGAAGAGACCCTTGATGGAAAATCAACCACCCATGCCATGGCTGCAGTCGTGTTTCAGAGGGGGAGAAACAGGAATATCAGTGGAATCTCCAATTCCACGTGTCACTCTAAAAGTCCATCCAGCATGATGACAATGAAGTTCCATTGGCAAGGTATGTTATGAATTATTTGGGAATGGAAACCAAAATAAATAAATAAATTTAGTCGTATACATTGAAAAAGAGTACATGATACTTACCACAATCTGATCATATAACTATCAGTTACATGCAATGTCAATTTCATATAAATACAATGTGATATGAACAAGAAACAACATTGTTTGGAGTAATATTGTCAACCAACTATACTGGTTCATGAGAGTCTGATTCAGTTCTAAGTAGGACCAAAGATGAGCCCAGTAGTAGACATACTGCACTGACGTAGATACATGACTAGCATTATCTAAGGTAAATGAATTTTCTTACTTCGTTTCAGGTATACCAAACCAGCACAACGTCCCTCAGCCCAATCCAGTGGCTGATAGTCTCTACTACTGAGGCCTTATTCAACTTCCACTGCCTATGCTCGTGCCCAGAAACAAGGACATGATATGGAAGCTAGCTCGTGTGAGAAAAGAAGAAGGGCAATCTCAGCATATTCCATCCTGGACCGGGTTCAATTCTTTATATCAGAGGAAAGTTCACCTGTTGCATCCGTGAGATATCTTCCCCTTTATTCAGGCATCTCCTACAGATCTCCACAATATACACTGTACTACTGCAGTTAGTTCAGCTGGCTGAGAACCAGGCCAAGGCCATATAACTTGTAACCGCTGACATGGCCATCTACTCGGAAGGCACAGGAAATCCTGTGGGCAAAACCTCCTGCCTTGTACAAAAAAGTAACCATGAGAGTTGGAGGCATGCATCTCACAATGGCTTTTATTGCTAGCCTCGGCCATCTCTATTGTGAAGGAGGCCTTCTGTCTCTTATTGACAGACTTTGATGTCTATGCAGTCAACACAGCCCGTAAGATGCTGCAGGGAAAGGAATATGCAAGAGGACTTCGAGGCTCTGAAGTTGGTACATGAAGCTCCATTCCGTATGTTGCTTGTGGCAATGGAGTCATGGCTTCAAGAACAAGGACATCTTCCACTTTAGAGGCTTCCATTCTTGGCTAAAAATTGAAGGAACTGCAAGATGCATTTGCTATAAAAGATCATGATTCAGCAATCAAGATATCAAATGAACTTCAGTTTCAACACCTTGATACACTCATCAAAACTATTGATGAGTTTAGACAGGTTGACGAACTTATGTCTCAAACGTTCTCCTACTGGGACACTTTCTTGGATGGAGGAGGATATACTTCTGCGCTTACTTAGGGCAGAGCGTGAAGCAAACTTCAGTCTTCATCTGAATACTGTATGTGAAACTATTCCCTGGTTTGTGGCCGCAGGTAGACACACATATGCCAAGTTTGTTCCAACATATGCAGCGGACATGAACAACTTGAAAGACAATGCTCTGCCAGCCTACAGACACTTGGATGGAGGTGGGTTTGTCATACGAAGATCTTCAAGGCACAGCTTCAATAGTGTGGCAACAGATCAAGCCCCTGGAACAAACCATCAACAGGGATGGCAAAAGCAAAGGAGGAGTTATTGGTCTGACACTCACGCAAAGGTGCTCTCACCCGGCTGTGGTTAAAGACAAGGCATATCACTGCAGAATACGCCAGAAGCGCTTAAGTCTCTGTGTAGTGATCGGAGCAGGACTGATAAGCCACATGAGGAACTTGGAAATGCAAGGCTTGTCAGGGATGAACAGGATGTTACCAAGATCATGGAGGCTGCTTCCCAATATCAAAATCCATTTGACCTAATTGACTGTGCCTTCAGAATTGATCAACATTGCTTACTGGACAGGTTGCCCCCAGTTGAGGTAAGTAAAGTTTGAATGGCTTCTTGATAAAGGCAAGAAGAAACACCCAGGATTTCCTAGCAAAGCGCCTCTGTTAAAGAAAACTAAGAACAAGAGTTTCTGGGATCCGAACCTCGCATGAAAGTACTGACATTTTCAGAGATGCGAAAGGTTTGCCAACAAAAGAAGACTGACAGGCTTTATGGTGGATTCTGCAGTGCTTTTTCGTCAGGATCAAGCTGGTTGTATCGAAGCAGAGATGTCAGTTTGGAATCTGTCCTTAAACATGGACTTGCAGCAGTCCCACTGTCCCTTTCCATGATGATGGCATCCATGAGGAAACGCACCAAATCTGATCTAGCAAAGAAACTTTGAATCTACATGTGATGAAGTTCCACAGCTTGAACATTGGTGGTCCTA